GTGTGTGAGCTCGTGTTCTCTTTTTTCTTGTTCTGTTGGTTGTTGTGGTGTTGGCACTCCTTTTGCTCTCTTGGCTTCTTGTTGCTCCTCTGGCTCATCTGTGATGAACTCATCTTTGTATGCTGCGTTTTCTTCAAAATTTGTTGAGCCTGTCCACTCTATGTCGAGTGTTGCTCTCCTCTTTGTCGTCCAGTCATCATCTATTCTATATCCTCTGTTGCCACTTGTTGGCTTCACAATTGTTTGTCTCCATGTTGTCAGTCTTGTCACGTCTGGTCCATCATCTGCTTGTTGTGGAATGTACATGTCCCTTCTTGGTTGGACATGCACACGTTTCCAATATGGACCTTCTTTGATCCAATAGTCCTGTGTTGGACTGACTTCCTTTGGATGTGGAATTGCTGTTTGATATGGCTGCGTTGCGGTCATTGCTTGGTCTGTTGGCCTTACCTCTGTGAGAGGCTTCTTCACGTTGTGCCGATACATTGGTGCTTGTGGTTGGTCGGCTGTGGTTTGTTGAGATGGTGTCGCTGGCTCTTTGGCTGGTGGAAGTGCTGGTTGTGGTGGTATGTTGCCTGCAAGTACTGTTCCACGTTTCACTTTGAACCATGTTTCTCCTGTCCAGTTGTTTCCTTGTATGATCCTCTTCTGTTGCTTCTTGTCGAGGTCTTGGTATGCTTCTTCGATGACCTCTGTGTTGTTGTTCGGTCTTTGTATGATTGTTCTTCTGTAGTTCTCCAACCTTTCTGTTGGAACTGGACATCTACTGTCTGGCATGAACAATGCCTTGCGTGTTGTCCTGTGGACTCTTACCAAGAAACCTTGGCTGTTGAATGTCCATAGGTCATTCTTGTTGCGAAGGATTTCCATGCCTGTTGGTGTCAGTGTGACTGGTGCTATTTTTGCTGTTGTTCCTTCTGCTGTCTGGCTGACTTCAAGCCTCAAGTTGGCTGGAAGTGTGATCAGCACAACTGGCAAGAAGTATAGGCCTTCTCGTTGTTTGAGTGCTGAGTTGAATCCCTTGGTGTGTGTGATTGTTGGTGTTTCGTTGAGTTGTGTGTTGAACCCTTGTTCTGCCAGTCTTGTTACTGACATGATGGGTTGCGTCACATCACACACATAGAAGGGAACAACTATTGTTTGCTTGTTGGTGTTGTGCATGTACACCCATTTGTAGCCATGCACTGGGATATCCTCATCTGTTGCTGTCCTCAGCCTAGGTTCTTGTCCAAGTTGTAGTGGATACAGTGGTGTGTCTGGTGCAAACCATGTTGGGCAAACGTGTGTTGCTGCTCCACTGTCGATCATAATGTCCACCTCGTTGTCTCCTCTCTGCTGCTGCACTGCTTGAGCTGTGGTGGTTGCTTCATTGTGGGCACTTGCTGCCTGATGGCCCAGTGCTCCCACAAGTTGTATTGTTGGTGTCTGCGTGTTGGTTTGTGGCGCTGGCAAAGCTAGTTGTTGTTGTTGTTGTTGGACTGGCTGGATATTGTAGTTGCCTGACTGGTCGTTGCTGTACCAGTAGTTGTCGTACCCACTGTTTGGGTCATACCATTGGGATGTTCCATCCTGGTTCTGTTCCTGCGGTGTCTCTGTCATGTTGTACACCGCTGTTCGGCAATCCTTTGCCAAGTGGCCCTGTTGACCACATCTGTAGCATATTGCTGTTGGATTCTTTCCTTTTCCTTTGTTGGGAAATCCTTTCGACTTTCCTTTGTTGCCTTTCTCTACTCCTTTTGGCTGATACCATTGCTGTTGTTTTCCTTTGCCTTTTCCTTTGTTATAACTGCCGTAGCCGCCGTAGCCCTTTCCTTGTTGGTATCCTCTTCCTTTGTAACCTCCTTTGTTGAATCCTTTTCCTTTGTTCTTTCCTTTTCCTTTTCCTTTGCCTTTGTATGTTGCTCCAATGTCCATTGGAGCTGGGCCTCCTCCTAGATTGCTGCTGACTGCTGAAGACGACTGTTGTTGAAGTCTTGAGAACGCCGTGGTGGTCCTGTAGTACTCCATAATTGTTGTCCTCACCTCAGCATATGTTGGTGTTGCACTGGCATTGAGGTGTAAGTGTTGTTGGAGTGGTCCTGTTGTCTCATTCATGAGAACTGCTATCTTCACTTGGTCTGGTAGTTGTGCATTGTTGTCACGCTCGTAACGTGCAAGCTCAAATTCCCATGTTGAGAAGGACTCCTCAAAGTTGCTGGTGTCGAACTTGGGTTTGAGTCGTTTTGTGAGGTAGCCTATGCTTCTTGTTCCAACAGGTATTGCAAACCTGTTGCAAAGTTGCCTGTAGACTTCCAAGCCCATTGCGTCTTGGTATTGTCTGCATATTGTTGCTGCTGGGCCGCTGGTGATGTTGATGAGGATGTACTTGAGGTTGTTACACAGTTGTGTCCACTTCTCTCCTTCCTCTATTGTTGTTGCTGCACCAAGCAGCTCTGCATCTGTGAGCACTGTTGCTGCTCGTTCTGCTCTTGACAGCAGTTGTGGAAAGATGTTGTCTTGTAGGCCCATGTACTCTGAGAACTTGTACTTCCATTCCTCAAATGTTGCATAGTTTCCATCGTATGTTGGAGGTTTCAACTTCAGCCTGTGTGTTGATGCTAGGGCTTCTGCTTGTGCTTCTCCTGCTGTTGGCGATCCTATCTCATATGCCGTTGCCATCCTTGTTGCTGAGAGTCCCCCACACTGTGTAGTTGGGATCAAGCCCTCTTCCTGTGCGCTTTGTTGTTGTGTTTGTTTCCTTTCCTTGTCGCTGCAGTGGTGGTGTGTTGGGCCGCTACCCTTTGTTGCTCCAGCTGTTGTTGAGAGTCCCCCAGTGTTCTGGGATCAAGCCCTCTGCCTGTTGGAGCTCACCTGGATGCTTCCAGGATCACTGCTCCGCTACCATGTAAAATGGCAGTCGACTGTTGTATGAACTGTTGATGCCGGAGTTGTGCGCACTGTTGCCTTTTGCACTGTTGGGCAATGGCTCAAGGCCTGTAAGCCACATGTGAGACATGGTATGCATGTTGGGACCAATGTTACATTCTAACAATTATATATATATATATACATACACAATATGTCCTGTTATTGGCTATGTATCATTTGATAGCCTGGCTCGGCAGGAGAGTCCAGGTTCATGGCAAGTCCAAGGCCGATTGGGGAGATCCCTTCATCCCACGACGAAAGACTTCGTAAATGGGTGATACCTCCAGTTCGATTCACCCTCCGGTGTCATCAAACGTGGCCAGCTGGGAAATCCACTAGAAATGGGGTTTCAATATAGGACAATCACCTATAAATATGTGTTTTTTTTCCATTGCCATGTTTGATTACCGGAAGGTACATCGAGTTAAAATTGTCCCCTCCTTTAAAGGAGGGGTTTTCCCTGCTGGAGTTGTTGAACTGCAAGTTTCACAGCAAGACGAAGTCCTAGTCTTAGATTATATAATGGATATACCCTCTGGTCATTTAACATAGCCATGGGAAATGGCCCATAGAAATAGATGGTTTACCTATTAAAAATGGTTATTTTCCATGGCTATGTTAGTCATAACCAGAGGGTAATTGAATAACCATGAAGATCCCCACCGTGATACCTCCACTTAGATGACTTAGATGAATGGAATATCCATGAATATACTGGATGTTATATGGAATTAACAATTATATAATTAGGGTTAGATGAACGGATTTTAACTAAACCACGGCTTCCCGATTCAAGTGGGGCCCGCACATCCAAGTAGCGTTGGGCCAAAAACTGATGATTTTCACCAAAACACAAATTTAACTCACAGCAATTGTTGCAACTTGACTTTCAGAGGAAAGGTTGGAGATAACAAATCAATGCAACAGACATGGATCAAAGAGCGCTGGATGTTGTAGGCCCGAAGACGGACTGATGTTATTGAAGCATGGTTGCCCAAAGGCTTTTATTTGACTCACCTATCTCCGTCAACATCCATATACAATAATCGTTTAGATGGCAAAGCATCCCAAATGTGTGAGTCTTACCCCAAATTGCTAGTAGAAAATGGTAGTTTAGTCATGTTACTTAGTCATGTTAGCAACCTATTGATATAATTTTTATAATTACCAACAAGTTGCTATTCATGTTATGCTATTGCCAACAGTACCAGTTGATTGTTGGTACTCGCTGTAGTCTTAATCATTGTTGGTTATATAGTCCTACTGCAAGTATTTAGTCTTAATCATTGTTGGTTAGTCCTGTTGGCTAGTTAGCACCAACCAACAATCAACATCAATCAAGTGATTCCACTAAATTACCACCCCACTAAGTGAAGCAACTTGATTTTACCACTTAGTGAATTTACTTGCAACCTCAGCAAGTGATTTCACCGAAAAATCGCCAGGTTTTCCCCAACCAGTCCCCCCGTCCTCTGACGAAAAAAACCCTAACTGCGCCCAGTGCAAGCGAGTTGAGCCGAGCGCCCTGGAACGAGGACAAGCAAAAGCGAGCGGAAATGGGAGGTTTCCATCCAGTCATGGGGATACCCCAAGCTCGCTGGATGGTTTTGATCTTCTGGTTATGACTAACAGTTTGCGAACTGGAAAGATCCACCATTTTGAATAGGTAAATCAACTATTTCTATGGGATTTTTCAATAGCTATGTTAAATTACCAGAGGGTATTTAGTTTATTTTATGGACAATCCTATAGTTACTAATAGCTGGATTATTTTGGGGTAGCCCTATTATAGGAAACCCATGAAACCCCTAAATGATCGAGGCAAATTCCAAGAATTCTTTGAGATAGATTGAGATAGATGATTCCCTACCATCACCGCGAAAGGTTGCTCTGAGGTTTCTGGTCATCATCCAAATATGGCTTGTTGTCGGCGAATCGTCCTATGTTTGGTGCTCTAAAGACGCATATTTGGATGGCAAAATCATGCCAAAACACAGAATGGCATGATGACTCTATATGACTGTTCACAATGCTTTTGCAACCAACTAGATGAATCTAGATGATGTATTTATCCACATCGGGTTTCTCCTCACATGCAGGCGTGATTATAGCATATTATAGATGAATTTGGCCTGAAGTTTGGCCAGCAGCTAAACTCGCAGTCAGCCATAGTAGGTACATATGACATATGACGTGCTATATGTAGAGTGCACTCACACCTGCTGCGAAAACACAAGTTCGGCATAGGACAGTTCAGCATTTGCACCGTGCCGTGCCACGAACATTTACCAACACGGCCAGTCTACCACAAGTTCCACGTGCGGTCAAAGCATCAGAATATTGTGACGTGGGCCACTGAGACACCATAGAACCCAACATACTGAGGAGGTACACACATTAGTCTCCAGAATCACAATACTTTCTGAGGCTTGAATTATCATGCCAGAAGTAAAGATCATACACCGGTTTCTTCTATGTCATGTTGGCACAGTAATGACTCCCAAATGATTGTTACTTCAGTCTCAAATGGTACCATGAAGCACCTAAAATGGAACCGCAACATAGACACAATTTCTCCCAAATCAATCAGCAAGTAGGCATTATACCGTGTAGGTGGGACAGTTCAGCGGCTTTTTTTTGCTGCGCAGGATCAAACTGCTCTGAAGCAGCAATTGGAGGAGTTGGAGGCGAGATGGCTTTGTCCGATTTCTCAAAACCATACGAAATGTGGATTTTGAGAAATACAAAAATTATTACGTACGTAAAATGTTTTAATAATATGTTCTTTAAACCATGCAAAACCATTTGCCAAATATGTATATATATATATCAATGACAATACAATACTTGTTGAACTTGATAATTGTGTTGATTAACTTGCAGATGACCACGTAAAACTACCAGTTTCAAAGTGTCAAACTTTCCTGCTTTTCTGATGAGCCTCATCATGTTCGCTTGCTCGGTCAGGAGCAGCAAAAGCAAATCCAAAGTGGCTTGAAAGAGGTGCACTCTGGTCGAGCAACAGTTTGCTATGGCAGTTTTCATCATGTGAAAATGAGTAAAATCAACCCAACAAATTGTCTAAATAGAACGGTCACACAAAAAAAAGTGTGATACCAAAAAAATACAGAACTAGCTTGGTGTATAATCAGACAAAGTACCGAACCATCATTAGTTAATTCATCACCATGAACCATCATTATAAGCCTAGTTTTTTTCCGGATTTTCCAGCCAGCTATGCCATGATCAACCTTACCAGAGTTTCCTGGTAGTTCTAGTATGTCTAATTGTTATCACCATGAACCTTACCCTTTGGTAAACTAACATAACTATTGAAAATTGCCATAATCCATAGAAATTGTTGATTTACCCATTAAAAAATGGTGATTTTCCATAGTTTTGTTAGTTTACCAGAGGGTAGTGAACGCCATTTTCTTCAGCACTATCCCAATAAAAATGATGTTATATGATGTTATCAATGGGGATTTCAGGATCCTAAAATGGAGGTACCGTACCATGGCTATATTTTGTGGGGATATTCCCTTACATAGGCCTTATATAGGCCTTATATATGGTAGGTACCTCCAATTTAGGAACCTGACATGGCCATTGATGTTATGCTACAGGATGGTGCCCACCCAGTTATAAGTTGACTTATAATCCCTTTGGCTATAGTCTAATATCCCCCTAGTCAACCCAACACTTACCCTCTGGTGAACTAACATAGCAATGGAACATGGCCATTTATAGTGGATTTTCCCATTAAAAATGGTGATTTTCCATTGCTATGTTAGTTCACCAGAGGGTATTCGACTTATGTTGACCAACTTAGCCAACTATAACATGAACATTACTGTTATATGTTTTTGGACTAAGAAAAACCCTTTGTATTCCTATGTTATATTGTACAAATATGATGTTATCCTATAGATTATCCTAGATTATAAATTCATGATTAATTTAAGGTTCTATGATGTTATCAATATAATCCTAGATATTCCCACTTCTATTGTGATGTTATCCTAGATTCAAAATTCATGATCAACTATAAACATATAATATGTTATTGGACCTATAAACCCCTATGTATTATAAAATATGATGTTATCCTAGATGATAAACCCATGCCTCAATGATGCCTTAAGTTACCATACCAATAAAAGGCCTTGCAGCACCACCGCCGGCTCTGGGCCAACGAGCTGCAGCGATGCCAAGAGACCTCCAAGGAGCTGGAAAAGGCGCGCGAGCTGCTGCGACCGGAGAAGAACTGCAGTTATGGCCATTTACCAGTTATAAGTACTAACAAAACCCCATTTATAGAATGTATAATCCCACTTATAACCAGTTATAACTGATAAATGGCCATAACTGCAGGGGAAGTTTGGAAAATGGAACAGGATGGTGCCCCCCAGTGATGTGAATGTTGGTTTATAAACCCCATGAATACTATAGTTATATCTGCCATAAACCATAGTGAAATGGGAGTTATAAACCAACTTAGCTAACTATGGGGCACCACCTTGAAGAAACCGTGGCAAAAATGATGAAACATTGGAGACATTATGGGAAAATGATGGGGGCTTAAGCTTCTTGAAGCAGAACAACCCTGTTTTTTTGGGAAACAATTGGAGACACCCTGGGATATGATGAAAAAAAATATTTAAGCTTCCTTAACCAGAAAAATGTTGGGAAAGAATCGGGTGCTTTCTGGTAATTTATAGTTTTTCACAGTCTGCTATGGAACATGACTATGTTAAATATATGTTTCTTTGTAGATATGGGTAAATCATCTATGAATGGGCCAGTTTCCATAGCTATGCCAAGTGGCTGGAAGGTAGCCCTCTTGGGTGCATCATCCACATCCACATGATCCACATGGCTGCCAGTGTCTTTGAAAAGGACCCATTAAATGCACATAATGTGGGTAAAACAATGTCATTTGCACCATCCCCCAGTCATCACCATTTTTTTGGATGGTATAAACTGTCTTAAATGGGTGGTAAAAATGGCATTGTTTTACCCACATTATAACCATTATTAACCAACATTAATCACCTAATAAATAAATTAACCAGTGTTACCCACATCATTCCATTTATAATGCATTAGCGCATCTAACACTGGCAGCCATCATCTATCGCCGTGACCACATGACCAGCTGGCTGAAGGCCCTGGAAGACGAGCGGCAAAAGCACAAGGAGCAAATCAAGGAATGGGAGTTTGTTGCACCCAGCGGTGTGAGAAGGGAATTGCTATGGCATTGTGGGTAAAACTGGCTGCCATTTTTAATTACCAGCCATGGGAATGGTAAGTAACCATACAAAAATGGTGATGCCTGGGGGATGGTTTATGGCATTGTTTAAACTTTAACCATATTACTGCCGTACTCTGGTTTTTTAACAGAAAAGTTTGACCCTGAAAATCAATGAGAAAATCACCCAATTTTCGAGTGGAAACATGCGGAAACGGAACTTCCAACCCCTAGCTGCCACGGTCTATGTGAATTTACTGGAGGGTACCACTTAAACCATGGAAGATCCCAATTTGTGGGATACCAATCGATCACTACAAACTTGGTTCATATGATGGAAGATCCCAATTTTGTGGGGCAAATCATCTTTAAATCATTTAAATCTATAAACTACTTAAAAAGCAAAAAAACAATGTACATGGTCTACATATAAAGTATCTATGAAAGAACTACAGTATCTAAATGCAATATAGTTCTGTGTGTCTTTACTTGGAAATGGTTGTGTAACCAAATAATAAGAGGGATGGCGGATTGAGCACTGAAGCTCCGAGACAAAGGATAGTTTTGACATCCTGCACAATCAGGGCGCATCATTAAGATATGTTGCTGGCAATTTGCTGATTTTGGCGCCATCTGTAGAGGATGTAGACGATATCGCAGGGTAGAACAAGAGCATTTTCATAATGCGGCTATAGTTTAACGGCACTGCCCTATATGGAGGTTTCCTAAAATGGGGGTACATACCCCTAAATCATCCATTTTAGATTGGGATTTTCCATGAAATTAACCATCCAGCTATTGGGTTACCCCCATGACTCTGGAAACCCCCATATCTACCAAACTTGACCTACCCGGTCGCGGGCTTTGATTGGGACATCTTTCTAAAGCCATGCCCAATCCTTGCTGCTTTGTACTGGTTCCAGCGTACCATTCATGTGTTGCTCAAACTATGACATGACTTGTCCGGTCCTGATTTCAAATTGTAAGTTTTCCAGGTATAATATGGTATAATATGGTATAATGAGATGTATTGAGATTGTGCATGGAAGAAGCCGCACCAGTTGGCAACTATTGGTACATATTGGTACCTATAAAATACTGTAAACAATGGGATTTTGTTACGGGATGTGCACCATCTACCATCTGCAGGATTCCATCCACAGTATGATCTGATATCAATTGATATGGATTCGTGTGACTACCAGATATGGGAAAGATTTTGTTTCTGTGTGTTTTTTAATGTTGTTGTTTTCATATGGTGTCAAAACCATACATCTGTTTCTCATGAATTCACGGAGCCTTACCACACGCAGTTAGTATTTCAGGGCTTGGTAAATGTCCTTTATTGTTGAGTGTGAACATCATTTCAAGATATTTCAAGCATTTCTTGAAGATTACATCCCCAATAGTTGGGTGTGAAAAGTTAGGACATTTAATGTCAATCCTGGATTAATAAACCCCAAGGCTGTTTAATTGGGAGGGTACCTTAAAAAAGTATCAGATGAAATGACTATTAGAGAAATACCCCCTAATTGTCATAAACCAAGCCCCTAATCTGTAAACTATTAATAAACTATTAATTAGTTAATAAATGTTAATAAACCAAGCCCCTAATTAATAAACCATGGTGATTAATTAATAAACTATTAACCAACCGGGTTGACATTACTGTACCAAGCCCCTCGAAAGTCGTTTTAAGGCGACGATTGCAAAGCGAGCTGACCAAGAAGGAATCGCAGTGGCGGGAAGAGGCGACGATTGCCGCGCACAGGGCAGGGGGATCCCGTGGGTTTCATCATGGCTGGGAAATCCCTATGGCCGTTAGAAAAGCTGGGAAAATCATCGGAAAATATGGGAAGACCATGGAACAACACAATAAATGAACTGATTGGTGGTTCGGAACATGATTTTTTTCCATATATTGGGAATAATTATCCCAACTGACTTTCATATTTTCCAGAGAAGTTGAAACCACCAACCAGTGAAGGTTTTACTATAATGGGAAACTTATCGAAACTTCATTTAGGGATTTCCCAGCAAACCATGTTTGATCGCCAGATGGTAAAACATCTATTTGGAGCCACTAAATGTGATGCTAACCGTTAAACAACCATGGGGTTAGCGGCCAACAATATGATATGATGGAATGTGATGGGTATTTTTTGTCGGATGCCAATGGCTTATCAATAGATACAATAGATACTTGGGTGCGTTCGCAAATGGTGTGAAAACACTTTCAACACCGATGGGGCTTTCAGCAACAGTGGGCATATCAGTCGTGAGAATCGATATGGATACCCGGCCTGGTAAACGTTTGCAGTTTGCGACGCAAGGAAAGATCCACCATGCTATGAAAATGGGTAAATCAACGAACTAAATAGCCATTTTCAACAGCAAACTGTTAGTTTACCAGAGGGTAGTTATGGATCGATTCCTAAATTCCTAGCTGTTTGCGCCTTCCCTTCAACTTGTTTTGATTGTTGCCTCCCATATCTAGTTTGCCGGTAGGTATATGATGGTATATGTACATGTGTCGGTGTTTTTTTTTTCCGGATATGCTCTGAATTTGTTGGGTACCAAATGTTGTCCGTTGTTCAAGTGTTTTTGAGCCTTGAGTGAAATGGCATCCTCATGGAGATTGACAGGTCTCTCAAGAAATATGTAAGCTACAAAAAGATACAAAAAAACACAAAAAGCAGCAGACTCTCATCAGCCTTGAAACAATATCACTGGGTCAATCTTACATGGATACTTTAATCCTTTAGTCTTTTGGTAGTAATGGGAATATCTACTAACCAGCAAAAATTTGATTGTTTGCAGGGTATCTAAGATTGGCAATGTATCATGAAGATATCTACAAGTGAATACAATGACTGGGTCAGTGCATGTTGCTGTCAACCCTGCAGCTATTTTGGCCGGGTCCGCGGCCCGCATTGCCAGTGCCATGCCGCCCAAGTGTGGATGCACAGTATGGGCGAGTTTTAATTGCACTGGTAGCCACAAGCTGCGAGTCATACAAAAATAGACCACCCAGTTTGCGTTCAATTGTTCTGATTGGTGGTTTGGAACATTTTTTCTTTTCCATATATTGGGAATAATCATCCAACTGACTTTCATATTTTTCAGAGGGGTTGAAACCACCAACCAGTGTTTGTTTGTTTGTTTGTTTGGTTTGTTTGTTTGTTTGTTTTTTTCCTCGTGGCCCATTTTAGACTCTAGACCCACCCAGTACAAGGAGTTTGATGTCACAAGTTCTCCTGCATTTTCGCCTCACGATTTTTTGTCAGGTCACATGGCATTCTGCACATTCATAGCATGTAAATGATATAGGTACAATGTGGCCCCCCCCAGTTATAAGTTGGTTTATAAGTTGGTTTACAAGCGCCAGAAACTAGTTCGTTATGAATACCATAAACCATAGTGACATTAGACTTATTGGCACTAACTTAGCTATCTTGGGGGCCTCACATTGTATGGTATGTGTGATGTTTGGTGATCATGATGTGTATATAAACAAATCTGGCACAGATACCATATGCAGTCAGTATGTGTATCAACTAATGGCTAGCTAGGTAGGTAGGTGGATGGATGCATAGGTATGTCATGGTATAGAGATATTTGTGTACATGTATGTGGGAGATTGTAATAACCCCGCGCCCATTCGAACAAAAATCGATAAGAGGAAAGTAGCGCGATAACCTTGGTTATGTGAATGATTTGTGTCCAGACTCTCAAAATCCAATGTTCTTGATCTTTCCATCGTTCTGCAGCTATTTGGTGCTTTTGATCTCTTCTTTTCATCGTCTATTGTTGTAATGGCGTGCCAACCAATGCGTGTCAGATTCGGCACAAGGAAGGTGCCTGCTAGGTGCTAGAGTTTTTTTTGACGATTGCAGCCGTTTCCAGAAAAAAGGAACATACACACAGGATTCACAAACGATAACGAAAACGACAACTTTGGCATCAAAAATGGTCCATGTGAGACACTACTACCATTTTTTTTCTTTTTCCTCTCCCTTTCCTTTTCTTTTTAAATTCCTTTTTCCTCTCCCTTACTTTCCCTTCCTTTCCCTTCCTTTACTCTTCTTATTCCTTTTTCCCTTCTCTTTCGTCTTTTTTCCTTTCCTTTTCCTTTTCCTTTGCTTTTTCTTTGCTTTTCCTTGTCCTTTTCTTGTCCTTTTCCTTGCCTTTTTCCTTTACTCTTCCTTTTCCTTTTCCTCATGTGATTTCTTTGATCAAGGTGTGAAGCCAGCGATTGGGGCTCGGGGTTTTGAGGCATCCCCATGTAGATAGGTAGCTAGGTAAAAGGATGGATTTTTATGCATAGATAGCTACGGTAGAGAGGCAGGTGCCTACATTATGCATTTTGCATCTACGGTTTGTTCATGATTATATATCGTGTTGCAAATGGATTCGACACCCCCGGAATTGTGATGAATCTCTCAACATTTACAATTACACTAATTGCATCTACTTACACTTAGAACATCTTAGAACAATGCCAAGTTTCCTTTATAGACTTTATAAATCTTATAAAACCTGTTTTTTCCTCACAGTTGGAATCCCGCTCGCGCCTTCTCAGCTCGGGGCCTTCTCGGCCTTCTCGGCCTTCTCGGCCTTCTCAGTCAGGATCCCTGCATGGGTGGCCGCAAAGGCACGCGCCAGCGCCAAAGCAAAGGCCAGGAAGATGGCGATGGCGCGCTGGCTATAGAATGGCCATAGAATGTGATAATCATGGCTTGAGATCTTGGAGGTAGCAGTGGGGTAAACACAAGGGGCACAACAAATAGCTACAACTGGCTCTAACCTTTGTATGGCTATGGCTATAGAATGGGATAATCATGGGATTCATAGCGGTGAAAAGTGGTTCATAGTGATAAAACACCCAAGAATGGGATTTAATACACCCAAGAATGGGAAGAAAGAGATGTCACTGGGAAATCAGGAAATCAGCTGTCGGACAAAAAAACTTATGGGATGAAAACAACATGGGGCCTCTGGGACAGATGCTGGGATTTACATCATTTGGTGTCTGATGGGGTTTCTCAGACCCAAGATGGATTCAGGACATGATGATTAACCAGTAAACTGACTGGGGTACCGTAGGTACCTTGTTTTGAGACACAGCCTATTTTATGGCAATGTAGTAATATTTGGTCACTTCAAATCTGAGATATATAATGTGGCCGGTTTTGTGGCGCAAAAACCATGGGGCTTTTCTTTATACAGAACTGGCGAACTTGATGATTATCACTTGGGACTATCATACTCTAGGTAAAATCTGGTTGCTGGTTTGGAACATTTTATATATTCTCCATAATATATGGGATAACCCTTCCCATTGACTTTCATATGTTTCAAGATGGTTAAAACCAGCAACCAGACTAGGCAAAATTGTGTCCTCACTGATCAGTAACCCCATGTTTGACCCGCTTCAACCGGGCACATTCCGTTGATTCTCTGATTCGAAGCTGATTGAAGTAGCCAATAGCAGCCAATAACATTTTGTTTTAAATCTGTTATTGGACAACTGGGGTTTCAGTAACCTTTAAAATGGTGTGTTATACTGTAAGTTGTATATACAAAGGTGTATTAAATCGCATTCTTGGGTGTTTTATCACTATGAACCACTTTTCACCGCTATGAATCCCATGATTATCCCATTCTATAGCCATAGCCATACAAAGGTTAGAGCCAGTTGTAGCTATTTGTTGTGCCCCCTGTGTTTACCCCACTGCTACCTTCAAGATCTCAAGCCAGGCAGCAGCCAGAACTGCAGCCAAGCCAAAGGCGAAGCCCAGGCGGTGTTCGGCGCGTGAAGAGATTCGTTGGTTTTATCCCCATCTGGAAATCCCAAAACCACAATGAAACCCCAACATGATACCATATGGAACCAAAGATTTGTTGGATCAATATGTGGGAAGAAGATGGAATAAGATTAGTTTTAAAATCTATCAACAGTCAACTATCTAAGTCTCGTTGAAGTTCTGAGATTTTCAGCTTGATGTTGATATGTTTCATCGTTAAAAAACACATGTTGCATGTTGGAATTGAAACTAAACAATGACTTACAGTTATGGCCATTTAAACATTTATCAGTTATAACTGATGATAAGTGGGATTATACATTCTATAAATGGGGTTTTGTTAGTACTTATAACTGGTATTTCGGGCCATAACTGTAATATGTCTTGCTCAATTTCACCATCAAAAATTGTGCTTCGGCGTTCACATGATTGGACTTGATTTGACCCAGCTACTCCATTGATCCAACTGGATCAAAGTCTAGCAGTTGCTTAATAATATACATCCATATCATGTTCTATAGAATATGTATTTTTTTAATGTAAATATATAATGTATATATATATATTATGACATAATCATAGTTCTTTCATGCTATTTCATGTTATTTCATATGCATAAAATTTGCATAAAACTTGATAATACTGCAAATGGCAAAAGTAGTGTTTAAGGCCGGTAAATCAAACCTTGCAGTACTTTCATGGCTTTGTTCTCCTTTTTGTTGTCCTGAAGGTTGGGAAGGTTGGCCCAGTTGCGACTAAGTTGCGACCCCCAACGCTGACGCTTTCTCGACTCGGTTAAATAGGGATAACCTAACAGAGTCACCCACATTCTTAACATTTCTCAACCACTGTCACTGGCACTTCCAATTACCAATTTCTAAATTTCACTCACCACTATCAACTTGTAACCTAAAGTGATAAGATTAAGCTTAAGTCTGAGTTGTCCCATTCTTATATTTTCTTTTATATTATTACAAAGCGGATTATTTATCGGTTTCTTCTTGGTCAAGTGGTAACAATCTTCCCATTTCATTTCATCCGACTTTTGTGTTCTTAAGTCTATCTTAATAAAAATCAAGTGGAGTAATCAAATAGTCAACAAAAAATGCTAGTGACATAACAACTTAACTATGACATATATATATATACTGGTTTGTGGTTTGGAACATTTTTTATTTTTCCATCTATTGGGAATGTCATCATCCCAAGTGACTTTCATATTTTTTTTTTTCAGAGGGGTAGGTATACCACCAACCAGTATATGGTTTAGTTTTGTTAGTGACATACATTTGAATCATTTAATGACTCCCGTTTTCTCACTGCTTTCGTTCAAGTCCCCAGGGCCGCTGCTTCATCATCCAAGTGCCTTGGCTGGAGTACCATAGGTATCATTGGGATGGGAATGTAATGGGAATATCATGGGATTATGTATGTATATATATATACATATTGGGTAAATTATAACGACCTCACTCTTCTCCCGAGCCCTGGAATCATGGTTTATAAGGGAAATCATCCCCAAATGGCCACGATTCAGCTTAGTGAAATATTAAAGTTTACCCATATATATATGTATGTATATATATATACGCACCATGTATAACTATATAGATAATGGTATACAATGTGTATTAACTAGATATAACTAGTGGTAGCCAACCTTGTTTGATCTTTGGATGTCTGTGGGTTATATTGGCTTTGTCGAAGATGATCCATCACACAGCTATGTAAAAATGAAGATGATCCTCTCCCAGGCTTGGTTTGTGAAGTAGCCTCTGGTTTCATCAACATCAAACACGGAAAATTGGGGAACTTAATGGTGTTTCAATGGGAACATCATCTATAAATTGTGGATTTTCCACTACCATGTTTGATTACCGGAAGGTAATTTGCCCTGAATGATTGTGAATTGCGATACGTGAGTTCTGCGAGTATGACAATGGGTGTCAGGTGATGGTCATAGTCATAGTCATGTTGATGGTGGAGGTGATGATGTAGATGAAGATGAAGAAGAGTAAGATGATTCATGATGATGAATATGATGATGATGATGATGATGATGATGATGATGATGATGATGACCATGATGATGATGACGACGATGAGGACGATGATGATGAGGACGATGATGATGATGGTGTGATGATGATGATGGTGGTGATGATGATGATGAGGACGATGATGATGACCACGATTCCTTTTCTTATAATATCTTATTGTCATTAGTATCGCCAATATTTATAACATTATCATTATTGTCATTATCATTACAATGTGAGGCCCCCGTTCGATAGCTAAGTTGGTTTATAACTCCAATAACTATGGTATATGGTACGCAAATAACTATAGTTACTGGGGCGAATCTAAACCAACTTACATCACTGGGGGGCCTCACATTGTAGTTATTATTGTTATTGTCATGATAGTTTATTATAATTATCAAGTTATTATTATCATTATCATATTACTATGATCTAACATTGTAATCATTATTGTCATTATCATAACATTATCAAGTTATTATTGTCATTGTCATGATAACAATGATGTTGATGATCAACACCATAGGAGCAGTTGTGGTTGATCACCACCTGCCGCTCAGGGATGCAGCGCCCAAACGTCGTGCCGCGGCGCCGGCGGCACCAGCAGGCGTTCCGAAAAATGTCATTTATTCTGCAGCCTTACAATCCAACATGACTGGTTGGTGGTTTGGAACATTTTTTGTTTTTCCATATATTGGGAACAATAACCCCAACTGACTAATCTTTTTCAGAGGGGTTGAAACCGCCAACTAGATGATTTTCCATATTGGAACCAATCACCATTTCCAAAAGGAACATCATCTGAAGATTTGGAAATCCGATTTTAACCTGCCAATGTTTTTGGGGACGAAGGCAGAAGGTTTTGAACATTGCTCAGCCTTCAACAGGATCCAAAATTTATACACCTATCCCGAACAGCGCGATCGATGACGTCGCGTGAAATCATATCTGAATGGTACCGATGCATTACAGTGAGAATGCCAAGGAATGTACATGACCCACGTGGCACAAGCGACCATGCGTTACGGATATGCAATCCATCACCCATGTATGAGGTTTCTCTAAACATCGCGTACAATAGTTGGGTTGTGCATTGCCATTCAATGGTGGAGTTTGCAAAAAAGGTGACTTAAGAAAACACCGTATGTTTGTGCCGAATCAAGACACGCCCTCTACATTGTTCTTTACGTCGTCTCAAGACTGACGTGACGGTTCCACCACGGGCTCACTCTACCCGTGTTACAAACAACCCTTTTCAGAAGTTTGATTTATCCTTTACCCCACAAGCAGAAAATCCATGAACAATCTCTCACTAGATGATCTCCCTTTGAGCATGGTGATTTCCAATTGCAATGGTAAATCATCAGTGCACTAAAACAATACCAGCCGTAAGTTCCTCAACAATGATACAAAAACTAAATAATATTACGTATATAAATATAACTAATCTTTATCGAAAAGTCATGTATCATATTTATTACTGGTTGGTGGTTTCAAACATTTTTTATTTTCCATAATATATGGGATGCCATCCTTCCCATTGACTTTCATATTTTTCAGAGGGGCTAAAACCACCAACCAGATATGATATATCTATAATCTATAATATTCTATAATTATTAATCATAAACACGTCTAGATTAGTCTCACTGTTTTCTTATGGTTTTTTGTGGTACAATAAGACATCCAGATGGTGTACAACGCCATCGCGTGAAAAATTCTCCAAGGCAAGCTGCGCCGCACCGGTTCCAGTGATGATGTGACAAAGGCACCGTTTCCTTCGCAGATTGGAATGGTCGGTTGTGGTCTGAGCAGATTACCCTCTGGTAATTTAACGTAGCTATTGAAAATGGCCATTAATAGTGGATTTTCCCATTAAAAATGGTGATTTTCCATAGCTATGTTAGTTTACCAGAGGGTATATGGCAATAATGATTGGTAACTACAAGGTGGTGCCCCAGTTCGTTAGCTAAGTTGGTGCGTTCATAACTCCAATGTCACTATGGTTTAAGGTAGATATATTGACATACTTACTATTGTTATAAGCCAACTTACCACTGTGGGGGCACCACCTTGTATAGTGACCAGTCCACGATTAGATGATCAATGTATCATTAGAACATGATTAGTGTTTCGCAAATGTATCATGCGTAATGAAATCATTGCTATATATATATTGATTGAATAACGATATGAATGAATTAAATCATATAAACTATAGCTTAGCTATTCATCAGAATTGCATCAATAGCTTTCACACATAGCAAATCAATTTAAATCATGATATAGCAATTAATGCATCATTAGTTGACAATACAATATCTATTAAATCTACATCAATATCACAATATCAATTGCAATATCCAATATATCAGCAGTATCCACTATTCTTGGATTTGCTGAATCGATGATATATGAATAGATGCGATTTCCTCAATGGGAAATCCACAACACGACTTTTCGGAATCCATACGGAAAATGAATGGTGGATTTTTGTTGGAGCTACACCTTTTTGTCTCTGTGCTCGTTCGTTAAACCCCTGGTGGGTTGATGCATCGGATTATTCGAGCACAAAAATCTGGTGGTTTCATACATGAATGTTACCCTCTGGAAAATATCATACACAAATATCTGGTGGTTTCATCATTAGACCCTTAAAATCACAATTTTTTAGAGGAAACTAATCTTCCAACCCCTATCTACCAGGGTCTATGTTAATTTACTGGAGGGTATTGTCCATGCCATTTTTTTGGGATGTCATCCGCAACCCATTGACGAACTCACTCCATGATTTTTCAAGATGAACAAAGCAGAATCCAAAAACTGGGAATCCTTATGAAAACCAGTACCCTCTGGTAAACTAACATAACTATGGAAAATCACCATTTTCAATGGGTAAATCCACTTTTTCTATGGCCATTTTCAATAGCTATGTTAAATTACCAGAGGGTATCAGAATCCAAAAACTGGGAATCCTTATGAAAACCAGTAATGTTTTTTTTGTTCAAAGGGATGACCTGAACCGGGTTTTGAACACTGCTTTGCCATAACTATGAGTCAAAGCTATACAACTAACCAGCAGTTTGACTCATAGTTATATAACTATGTATAGTTTTGACTATATGTGGTTTGACTATATTTAATAGTAATGAACCATATTGAATAGTTGTGTAACTGTGCCATATTGTTTTGGGATGAACATAACTATTCACCAGCTACAGTAACTTTCACTTTTTGAGCCAGGAAACTAGGGGTGACCAGGCTGACCAGGGTTGGCTGCCCCAGAGCCACATAATATGTCTACTACAAGATCCTTGAAGAGATATGTACATGAAATGTATCTTGAATTATCATGATATATGTCATGTGCGTGACACCGATATTCTATCATTTGAGATGATGTTTTTTTTGCTTCTGCAGGCTTAACTTTCACTTTAGACCTTATCACTTATAGAACCTGATTCAATCACTGGCCATTTCAGGTTCCTAAATTGGAGGTACCTACCATATATATAATGTCTATGTAAGGCCTATTTTTTAGGCCTAAATTTCAGGGGATATACCCCACAAAATATGGCCTGAAACATGGTACTAACGTACCTCCATTTTAGGATCCTAGAATGTGAGGCCCCCGTTCGATAGCGTTCAGTTGGTGCAAATAACTCCAATTTCACTATGGTTTATGGTACTTATAACTATAGTTACTGGGGCTTATAAACCATTGTGAAACCATTAACTATAGTTATAAGTACCAACTGGTTAACCTATGATTACCAATAACTATAATCTATGGTTACTGGGCTTTATGGTACTTATATCTGGGGGACTTCCCATCGATTCAATGATCATCCCATGACGTAGGACCGCTTGTGTAGCTAGGCACCGGCAGCCAGAGGGAAGAAAGGAGGCGCCAAAGGCTCCAACGGCAACAGATGGCTGTCTTCAAGACACAAAAAGGTGATGTCAAATAGCTATTGAAAATGACCCATAGAAATAGTGAGTTTTTCCATTAAAAATGGTGATTTTCCATTAACAATGGTGATTTTCCATTAAAAATGGTGATTTACCTTCTGGTGAACATACAAAAAACTATGGAAAGATCCACCATTTTTAATGGGAAAATCCACTATTTTGACTGGGCCATTTTCAATAGCAAACTGTTAGTTCACCAGAGGGTATCTTCAACCATATGTGGTGATTATTTTTCAAAAACATGTATATACCATTCAAACGTATGTGGTGATTATTTTTCACAAAAGTGTATATAAACCGTTGATACAAGGCTGCACAAAATACCTGGTTGGCGGTTTTAAAAGATGCTTATGTTCAACTGTATATTTGGGATGATGGTCCGCGATGACCTGTATCTTTCAGTGGGTTGAAACCATCAACCAGATTTCTTTGTTGCTGAATGATTTGCGGCCAAGTTAAATAGTATAAAACGATTTCTGAACGCTTCAAAATTGTACTGTTTGCTGTGGAACATGAATTTGTTCATCCTCCATTTCGACGATTCTCATTCCCCCTATTTGTTTCTGCTGGAAAAAACGTGTTTGTTCTCCAGCTATCTCTAGGTTCCATAGCCTTTCTTCATGATACATTGATTCAATTTCTGGTCATTTGTGCATATTTGTGCCGTACCTGGTCCCAGGGAAGAAAGTGGATGAAAATGTCCCTGGCGCTGGTTCCTTCAAAGTCTACGAGGAAAAGACTTGTCCGTGAAATGGGAAAATGAGGGTGTACATATGGTATAGACGGTAATCAATTGTAATATATTGCAATATGATCATGTGCTTGAGTTAGGGGTACAGGGGTACCTGTCCATACCTGTCCTATATCGATTGTTGTCATGTGTTGGCCTACAATTCGATGCTACGGATCCGTTTTGTGAAACATGACCTGCTGGCATTCGAGCTGCGCCATGGCTGTGCCATGGCTGGTCAAGATGCAGGATTCGATCTTCCCACGCATCCCAAGGGGATTTCTATCGGATTCCCATTCTGAGAACATGCGGATTTTTCATGGACCGTCCCACGTGATGATCGTGATGTGCAGACACCTCCATGAATCCATCTGAATCCATCTCGTCCAAAAATCAATGGGTTCCATGTCCAGGACTATGCTGTGAAGTTGAACCAGACCGATGTGAAAGGCAACAACAATAAGTGGCTGATCCCAGTTTGGAGCTGGGTGTTACATGGTTTTACGACAAGCCGAAATCCAGCCAGGATATAACCAACCCATCTAAAACATTATAAAACATTATCCGACTACATTCCAACCAGGATGACCAACTGTAGTTGATGAACTTTAGAGATAAGGCTGATATCACATGTTGTCACAAGACATCGAATTTTCTACCAGGACCCAATCTTTTGGGACGGGTTTTGCTGCACTGATGCCTCCATGATCCAATTATTGCAACGAAGCTGTTTCGTGTGTGGCTCGGAACTCCAAAACATCGTTGCCTTGTTGTGAGACACAATGTTAAAGGGCATTTAAGTAATTAATCAATATATATATATATATAATTCAACATAAAGCCATTCAATCAATATTATTTCAATGCATTATATATATATCATATATCATTCAATCATAATATCATGGTTGCACTATTTGTTGGGCAGGCTATCAGATCCTGCCTAGATGAGTCCAGCTTGATGATTCTTACATACATTGTACTTTGTGATGGTTGCACCTAAAAAATGTGTAGTTTTACACCTGGGTGATTAGCCTATGACTATATATATATATAATTAGTATATTTTTAACATGCATATTTATATATATATATACATATATTTATGTAATATTTATATATATACATAGTTCTTTATATATATACATACATATTTTTTATACATATATATATATATACACATATACATATATATATATATTTATTTATTTATGCACACGTAAAAATGCATACTTGTGTTCAATTGAGACAGCACCGCGTCACAGGTACTACATCATTCAAGTTCTTGAGGGTCATGGTTGGCGGCCCAGATGGTTTCCGGTGTCATCAAAGATGGCTGGTTGGGAAATCCTCTAAATGGATGTGGGTCAAAATAGAAGACCTAGGGGACCACAGATGTTAGTCTAGTGTAGTATTAACCATCCAATTATTGGGGTACCTAATTTTGACCCATACCCAAATGGATGTAAATGGAGTGTTTAATGGGAAAAAAGGCACATATTTCTTTATGTACATATGCATGTACGTGTATATATATATATATCATACTGTATGTAATATATAATATGAATAATATATATATATTGTTGTGGGACAATCATCGAACTAAACGGAGGCTTTTCCGGCAAACTATGTTTGATTACCCGAGGGTATATAGAGGCAGTCGCGAGCAAATTGAAGCTACCTCACAACATCCTTACCAAAAATGGCTTCTGTCGGCTTTGAGATTTTTTTTTGTTTGTTTCTCAGGGTTTAAGAGTATGGGTCAAGATGGATTTTCTGATGCGCAAAAAGTGCAAGTTTTTTCTGTTATTTTATCACGAGGAGATTGAGACGTTTTAGGGATGTAAACCTGCAAACATGGATGGTATTTGCTTACTTCAACACGCAAAAATGGGTCCACTCGGGCCCCGAATTTTGACTAGTGGTATGGCTGAGATCATGTGATATCTGATGCTGAAAAACCTCTAGCTTCTTCACTCCTATGTCCTAAATCGCACCATGAAACCAGCTTGTTGTTGTTCAGTGTCCAGTGTCCCTCTGTGGCGATGAAGACTCAAATCCAGTGGCTGCGCCATACGCGCCATGGATTTTTGTGATCGAGAAAGCCTGGATTCATCGAGATCTTCCCTGAGCTAAGTGGCTAGTTAGCAGTCTTGATGTTGCCAATGCAATGACTTATTGTAGTGTACCAGCTGCATAAGTTCATCATATTTCATCTATATATCATTGACAATAAATTCAATGTTACGTCTATATATCATCTATGTTTCATCATATTTCATCATATTTCATCATATTTCATCTATATTATATTTAGATATATATTTATATCTATCTAAATTCAATTACACAAGGAAAACCACTGCATCACTGGGAGTCTTTCCACTTCCCACTGATTCCCCATCAGCAAAGCTCAGGGAACATCGCGCCGGGCAGCCGGGTGGCGATAAAAAGTCGCAATGAAGCGCCTGGTGTGTGATGCCAGAGCTGCCGGTGTCTAGCTACGGTTTCAGTGTGTTTTCGATAAATTACCCCGCTGGTAATCTAACATAGCAATGGCATAATGGGAAATATATGGACATACCCAGCTGTAGCGAAATCATTTGCAAAATTGGCCGGCTCTTTTTTCAATTTTCCATTGCCATACTATAGATTGTCATATTATGCCATAGTTATTTTTAATATTGGAAGATCCACTGGTTATAATCTTCAGCTGCAAATGTGGGGGGGAACATTAAAACCCAGCAATATCTAGAGAAGTAACAGAGACCCAAACTATTCCATCAGCTCGAATCAATGGTCATCAATCGTGGGAAACCATCAAGCAACACGTGGGAATTCAAAGTCGTTGCAGTCCGTTGCAGTCAAAAGGCCGTGGGTGTTTGGGCAGTCAAAGTCAAAGTGTTTATTTTGGCGAGGACGGATTAGGATCCTTTTAGTCCGCTGTTGTCTGAATATCTCGATTTTATATTGACCATTTGGTTATGACTAACAGTTTGCCATGGAAAGATTCCCCATGCTATTAATCGGTAAACCATCTATTTCGATTAGGGCCATTTTCCACGGCTATGTTAAATCACCAGAGGGTAGATGTTTCTTCAGGGATTCTGTTTGTTGCAACTGTCACCCGTGCGTCTTGCCATTGCTGATGATGCCTGGTTGAAAAGTGCACCAAACACGACCCTGCAGGAGATTATTCTTCGGAACCAGGCTGTGTCTGCTGCAGTCCGAGCGCAAAACTGGCCAAAAGCTCTTCGCATTCTGCAAGAGGCGCATGATGTGGAGCCCCGCGCAAAGGGGCCATGGGATGCCATAGGCCATGGCAGTAAGAGACCACTGAGATCTGCCGATGGTATACACAGAAGTGATATCAATTAATCACAATGGTATCTAATAATTACTATCTCTTCTAAATGGTAATGTTCATATCAATTAATATCAATTCCCCTCTGGTAAATTAACATAGACCCTGACAAAGACTAATTGTTAATGGAAACCAATCTTCCAACTCCTGCCAGGGTCTATGTTAATTTACCAGAGGGTACAAATAGAGATGGCTGGAGAAGCAAATTATCATTGGGATCACTGGATATTCAAATTTCCCGGTCAGGGTTGATAAAACACACTAAACATAAAACATATGTATATATTATATAATATATGCATATATATATATATATATTATTGTTATTATTATAAATATGTTTTAAAATATATTTTTATTATGATTATTATTATTAATATATATGTATATATATATATATATATTAGATACACACTAATATATATATATATATATATTATAATTGTATAGTAATTGTATAGAGATATATACCTAAAATATCAATACTTCGATGGGATTCATCTCAGCCATGGCCAGGCCAGAGAGGAGTCACTTCAACTGACCTTGGTGTCCTACAACTCGGGCATCAGCGCTGTCCGAAGATGGCGAAGTGCGTTGGAGGTTCTGAAGCTGGACAGTAATCAGCTAGTTCGATCCATAAACCATAGCCATAGTTATTGGAGTTATAAACCAACGACACAATTAGCTCACTTGGTTTATAACTTAGCTCAGTTGGTTTATAACTCCAATATACATAGGATTACATAGGTATATATATATATATATGTATATGTATATATATACATACATACAAACATACATACAACATATACATATATATTCAATACTCATAACTAGTTTACAATACTCATAACTAGTCTAATTACTGTAATGGGATATAACTATCGTAGATTATCATAGTGTTCATTGGGTTATAAAGCAACACACATACAATCTGGTTATTTAACATAGCGAACTTGAAAATCCAGAAAATATTCATGGAGGTTGTAACTAGTTGGGAATATCATCTGTAAACCTATGGGCCATGGCTTCCAGTTCGCTATGTAAGAAATGACCAGAGGGTAATAGTTCATAATCTAGTATTATATAGCCAATATGTTTTCCAATAAAACATTTCATATGGTTGATATATATGTTGATATAATACTTCATTGTTTAATTTATTAGAATTAATGATATTGATTAACCATATTTAATGGTATATGGTTAATACAAAGTATAGATGGTCGAGAACCGGCCACCAGGAAGGGAATGCGATGTGTTGAAGTTCAGGTGCCTCGTTTTTTTTCATGGGCGTAGGCTTTGAGGGCACGGTCTTAATTGTGAGGCATGTTTGATTGGGGTTTTATAGCCATTGAAATGGGAGATAATGGGAACATTCATCATATTAGTGGATATTAATGGGATGATATTTTTTTGAAGGTATGATATTATCATGAGATATTCATAGGACATCAATAACCAACAGAGTTCTTGGTGTGTCTGAAAATAGGGTATTATCCCCGAATTCATTGCTGTCATTGGAACAATGATGACGTACTGGAATTTTGGGAGGCCCTATTTTTTGAACAAATCATATTGATTCTGCTAATGTGATATTGACGATGATCTGTGTTGTGTTTTCAAGCCATCAGTCAACAACCTGTCAGTAGCATTATTTTGCATGGGCAACGCTAAACATGGGAAGATGATCCCAAGCGACAGTCTGAGTTTTTTAGGGTTTCGAGAGGTTGAAACAGGTTTTATCACCACAAACCAGTCATGTTTGCAACTTCTGCACATCGAAATCATTGAATCAAGATGATAGATTCTGATAGACAGCAAAAAGCAACCCCAAAAAAGATGCCGAAGAGAGAGATTCACCAATTAAAACGCTTAAGGGTGGGTTTTACCAACCGACATCTCTTGTCTCTGGGGGTTAACATTACATGACATAGGGCTGAATTGCTGGCTCAGTTCCGACTCCATTATAGGGATGGTTGGAAAAAAATGCTGGATTTAATCAACAAGAAGTATGGCTAGCAACAGAAAGGGTGATAGAATGGGGAATACCACAGGGTACATATATATATAATTATGCATATACATAATACATATATATATATAGATTGGGACTCAGTTTAGTTTTTCTCACAGCAGTATCATGTGTTTGTGGTCTGAACATAGGGGATTAATCCCACCAGTTATGGCCATGTGTATATATAGGGAAAATATAGTAATTTTAGCCCATATTTATTCTTTGTGTATGTAGATATACAGATCTTTCAGGTAGATATGTCAGAGGTATGTGTTGATATGCCCTCCGGTTATTTAACAATTTGCGATCAATGATGTAGATGACCCATAATTGGATGGTAAAAATGTTGAGTTTCCATTTCGCACTCCGTTAAATTACCAGAGGGTACTGCATCATACATTAAAAAAATGGTCAGAACCTAGTTCGGCCTGCGACCCAAAGATGGTCATGTTATATCATGTTATCATGTTGATGGAACCATCCCGTTTTTTTTCCCTTATATATAGATTGACCTATATCCAAACCATCAGCGCATCGTTCATCAATCCATGATATCCTCACAGTTCTGTTGTTACCTACCCTCTGTCTCTGGGCAAATCGGAATCGCAGTGGGGCGACCTTGGTTTTGAAATGTACCAACTACACATCTACTAATTGATGTTCCATTTTTCCATCTTGGGGTAGCGTTTCAGTCGGTTCAGATTCCCAAGAATATGATCATGTGTTCTCCAGAATGTTCAATTTGTTCAGAAGCATTTAGTCATTTAGCTGACTTGTCATGACGTTTCCCCATACAGTTATGGCCCGAGTTATACCAGTTATAAGTACTTACATATAACCCCATTTATAGAATGTATAGTATAATCCCACTGAAATAACCAGTTATAACTGTGATTAGTATGTTATTCCAATTATTAACCATAGATTAACCATTTATTAACCATATAAATGGCCAGAACTGTAGTTTTCACCCATAGTTTTCACTCCCAGGCAGATGTGATAAGTTCCAACAGCACCATGGACTCTTTGCAACGCTCCGCTGCCTGGGAGCTGGCGCTGGCCCTGCTGTTGAACCGGGAGGCCCTGCTGGCCCCAAAAGGCCATGCCTCATGCGATGCCCTGGAGATCCCCAAAAATGACCTAAGATGCGGAGATGTTTTCCGGATTTTTTTGTCTTATGGTATATCTATATACATATCTATAGAGATCTATACAGATCTATACAGTATCTATACTATCTATATACACCAATCAAGATGTTTTCAAGTGATAGAACATATGCAAAGAAAGACATTTGAAAAGATGGTGCATGGAAACAGATCATATTCGGTGATCTAAAGCCATCAAACAGGTCGAATTGTGTCATGATCCAGGTGTGCCCGCTTCACCCGCTGCTTTCAGGCCAATGAGATTTCACGGTTTCTTGGCAGACCGTGTGCTATTTGTTGCCTCATGAGCCTTTCATTCGGAGAAATCCTGCACCAGTTGATAGGTGATAAACATTCCATTTTTTTGATGGGTCTCAACAATCCTTTTGGTGATGCAGGATTTCGCAACCGTCCACACTATCTCTCATTATCAGGAGATGCTATTGATCGTAAGATATTGGAACAACGACACCGGGAATCCAATCAACACTGCCGCTTTGGGTTTTTTTTTGAGTTTCTTTAAACTTTACACCATTAAGTTCGTTTGGGCAAAATATAAGATATACATATTAATACAATTTAATATATATATAATACACACACTTTTTATATTTTTCTGTAATGATTCTTTGTATACACCATACGCAACCACTAGTCCTACGGCAGAGACTCGTGTCTAAATTCGAGGATGGATGGAATGGGATGGAGCCAGAGGGTTTTCCATTCGGTTCAACTGTCAAGATTCAAGCATCAACGGTGAGGATTCCCGATAGAAGTATGGCCACCATCAAGAGCTTTTGACAGTGGAATCATCATTAACCATCATTAACCATCATCAACCATCATTAGAATGCAGTAACCATTTCATTCATTAGGTTACAGTTTTTTGAATGACGTCGTGGCTTTTGAATGCCCAATTTTCGCTTTCTGTGGCTTTGCACATCGCACATGTTTTGGTAGGTTAGCATCCTACTTTTCGGTGAAGCATTTTTGATGGCTGGTACGGCTGGCCAAGATCCTGATGATTTTTCAGCCTTGCGCCCCAGGAATTCTGCCATGAGCGTGCTGGAGAAGTGCGCGCAGTGGCGAAAGGCTGTGCAGCTTTTTGGGGAGGACCGTGTGCCCTGCGCCTGGTGCCTTCAGACTGGGATATTTGGCTCCAAAATTGGTGAATCATTTGAGAATCATCTGGGATATTCGAGAGAACGATGAATAATATGGGATCGGGATATGGAGATATCTAGCACATGCTCCAGCATTATGGAATTGGTGAAGATGTGAACTAAGTTGAGAAAATGCGGATTTGACCAACGCACACAGGGAAGAGCACGGGTGTTTTGAAAAACAACAGAAATGAGGACTGACAAACTGATCTTAGCAACAAACATGGGGTAACTCTGCTTCAATGATGGTAAATTAATCCGTATTGAATGGTAGGTGAATGGCCTAAATCTGCATTTTTCATGGAGCTTACAAGATGGGCTATCACCTGCACAGCCGTTCAAGAGGGAACAGAAAGCTTGTTTTGTCATCATAAAGTAATTACTGTAAACAAAACAGGGATCCAATGTAATCCAAACATGAAGGGTTAATTCCAATACCCTCTGGTGAACGTTTACATTTTGCCATGGAAAATCACCATTTTTAATGGGAAAATCCACTATTTCTATGGCCATTTTCCATTGGTTGGCCTCCATTTGAATGATTTTGACGTATATCTTGACCCATGCCGGCCCAAAAAGGAACAAAACCATGGAGTGATTCGGGCGTTCTGCCAACTCGAAATTAGTATATCCAATAATTACTGTCATCATCGTGCCTGCCTAATTTCCAGAAATATATATATATATATATAACCACAACATGTGACTCATGCTTAAGTACATGGAAATACAACATGCAGAGGCCAGGGCTAGTAGCCAAGTTTGCATGGCGCAGCCACTCCCAGTTTCGTGGTTTAGCCTTCATTGAGCCACATGTCTTTACATCGCAATAGAGGTGGTATTGCCAAATCACCAAATCGACCATCAGGTTTAGCCCGTTTCCTACACATTTTGGGCCCCCAAAAAAATCATCCAAGTTTTTGTCAGATTGGGAAACCCATGATAAGAGAGAGGTAGCAAATTTCAAGAAACACCCACTTGGTGATGTTCATGATAGCCTGGTTGGTGGTTTGGAACATTTTTTCCAAAATATATGGGATATCATCCTTCCATATCCTTCCCATTGACGAAGTCCATCATTTTCAGAGGGGTAGGGCTCAACCACCAACCAGATATTATATATTTTTAACCATCATCAACCATCATTAATCATCATTAATCATGGAAATCCCACTCAAATCTTCAAGTCTTCAGGACACGGCGTCTGTGATTGGCTTCAATGCTCTCATCAGTTCCTTGGCGTCAACCTGGGGACCTCAGCAATGAACGATCGGAAAAAAAAACCGTCCGGGGTTTGCTGGGAAATCCCCAAAGCAAATGGAGGGCTGCTGGGAAGTCAATGAACTATAATTATATATAATAATTATATATATATATATGGGTAAATTATAATGACCTCACTGTTCTCCCTCACTGGAATTATGGCTAATGAGGGAAATCATCCCCAAATGGCCTTAATTCAGGTTTGCGAATTATTGTAGTTTACCCATATACATATGGATCAAGACGGTGGATTTTCCAGCAAGCCACGTTCGATTGCTGGAGGGTATGTGGGACTTGTTGATGTGCTTCTTAATATCGGTTTACATGGATTTACACCCCCCCCATGTTTGTTTTTCATAACCCAGGTTTGTCATGTCCTATTTAACAATCTGGTTGGTGGATTCAAACATGTTTTATTTTCCATAATATATGGGAAAATCCTTCCCAACTGACTTTCATATTTTTCAAGATGGTTAAAACCACCAACCACCAACCAGTATAGGTCAGATATGGATTGACCATTGGTTTATAGGTCTTCAAGAGTGACGAATCCGCAGCCAACGTTTCCCAGGCTCCTGTGAGAAAGCCGGTTGCTGGCCAGCGGCTCTGGCAACCTTGAGCCTCGTCACCTGTGTCCAAAGAATCAAAGAGAAGCGTTCCAAGAATAGAACCAGGTCGGTTGGGATTCATGACTGAATGTTTTAATTGAAATTAACCATCATTAACCATTATTAACCATCATATTAAGTTGAAAAAAAAAGCTGACAAAAAGACACGGGCCAATTTTGGTGATGTTCTTCCACGCCCCATGGTTGAACCCCTGGCTTTGGACCTTGGCTACCAATCAAAGGACCCCCACAATTTGTGCTTATTTGGCTTGGCAGGAGGGGCGGGGACCTTGCAAATGTTTGGCCAGGACCTCCAGGCCATGATCCATCCCCTCTTCCCTGGGATGGCTGACCCAGATGAGGAAATAATCTGGGGGACCTTGGAAGCGGAGCCTTCAGGACCCATGGGGTCTGAGGTTGGAAAATTGGTCCAGGGCTATTCCCCCATTCGCCACCTCATTAAAGCCCAAGGAGAATTCACCTTATGTCCACTGACCACAATGAAGTCCCTCAGGAGCCTGGGCTGATAAACTTGGTGGACACAAGTCTGACCAACCTCAGCAAAATAGGGGGGTCAGGCTGGAAGTGAGGGCTCCAAGGGGTGGTGGCAGGAGTGTCGAACAAACCACTCAAGACTGCAATGATATCCTGGAAGAGCTGGCAGAACATCTTGGCAGAGAGGACTGCCCTTTGAAATTCAAAAGGGTCCCCATCAGTTTTTACAAGGAGTTTGTCAAGGCAGAGCTCAAGGGAGCCATCGATGGCAAGACATTTTCTGGCATGAGGGATACAGGCCCCACTGAGGAACAGAGGGAAGCTTTCAATGTGAAGGTGACCCAGTGGGCAGCCCTTGTGGCAAACATTGGTTTGATTTCTGGGCAGTTTAGGAGGTTAATCCAGAATGGCAGCTCTTGCCAAAACCTCCCTGCACCCCAGAGAATGCGAAACCCGCCTTCAACACCAAAGACACCAAAGAGGAGAGCCAAAACCAGCTCCTCTCCAGCACCCACACCAAGCACCCAGTTGTCCAGGGCCCAACCCCCACAAGCAGAAGAAAGGGATGCAGACCCTTCACAAGGTGGGCCACCCAAGCTCCCCCCCCAGCACACGAAGTCACTATGGATGGTCCACCCAATGGCCATGAAAAAGCCATTATCCAACATACCAAATGGATACAGAGAAAGAGTGGGGCCACAAAGAAAGAGCTTGTGATTTTCCAGTATAAACTCGAAGGGGAGCAGAAGGCAGGGTACTCCAGCTGGTACCCCAGTCCTGAGGTTGCAGCCAGGGCCATTTTCAGTTGGCTAGGCAGCAATTGGAATTCTAGGGTGGTCCTGAAAGAAGGGAAGGACACCAGCTTTCCAAAGCCTCAACATGCAGGAGGTGGAAATCCTCATCCACACTGCATTTCTGAAAAGGGGTGTCAAGGTTGGGAAGAAGAGCAAGAAGCTTGCTGAGAAGGAGGCAGGAGAACAAGCTGAAGAAAAGAAAGGGGCAAAGAAGAGGAAACAAAGAAAGGAAGCAGAGGCGCCAGGGGAAGATGACAAAGCAGAGGAGGCAGTGGAAAAAAATGTTAAGGAGTTCTGGGTTTTCACTTACAAAGACCCCTGGGGACCAGACAGAAAAAGCCGCCAGTCATCCTGGTACCCAACAACAGAGCATGCTGCCAGGGCCATCTACATATGGGCCCAGGACACCTGGTGGCAAAGGGTAAGAACCAATCCTGGCTATGGAGGGCCCTATTCAATGGAGTCTCGGGAAGACAAAATAAGCCAGGCAATCAGAGCACTCAGGACCATATGGGTGGGCCAACTGGAAAAAATGCTCACCGACCAGAAGCTGCAGGAAATAGCCCAAGACCAGACAGGCTTTGTTCTGGGTGCATTAGTGGACAGCGATGACCTGCACAATTCTTTGCACAGCCTGGCTGAAGGCCAGTCAGAGGAGACCCTTTCTGACATCCTCTTTGCTTGCACCAAATGTGAGAGGGACCATTGGCTGGGCCCAATCATGTGGGGTGGGCCAAAAGCAGCATCCATGATCTTGAGCCAGCAAAAGTTGAAAGTGTCTGCTTGCATGGTGGATGAGTTTCTGAAAGAAGGTCCTGGCGAAGAAGTCTTTATCATCTTCCATAGCCACAACCACTTTGTACCTGCTTGGGCACCAACCTTCCATGGGCCATTTGCCTCTCGGCCCTGGGTTCCACAAGATGCATTTGAAGGGTTCCAAGACCCCTTCCAAGAAGCAGCTTCAAAGTATGGCTGGCACTTGGATTTGACAGTGAGGGCAGCTGGCGATTGTTTGTTTCACAACTTGGTTGTTTTCCAAACCCTGCTGGCACAGCAGGTGGTGCCAAGAACCAGGCCCACCAGTTTTCTGCAAGCACAAGCTGTGCCTAGCATGGGGGAGGTAGCGGCCATCCAGGACCTCACCACAGATCAAGGGGGCTTTGAAAGCATTTGAAGGCACATTGACATAACCAATGGAATTTCAAAAAATCAAAGAATCAAGATACCAATCAAAAGAAGCACATAATTCAAGGATTGAAACATGCAAGAACTTAATATAAATAAAGCAATAAATAGATAGTTGGGTTTGCCATTTTGTTTCGGTGTTTCTTTTGGCCATGGGATGCTGTGGTGATTTTGTTTAGTGAAATGACATGGGAGGCTCAGATCTTGTCCCGGAAAACAAACCCGACACATGCCAAAACCACCATTTGTACCCTCTGGTTATTGAACATAGCCATGGAAAATCCCTTATAAATGGAGGTTGATAGCTGGGAAAATCATTTATTTCTATGGGCCATTTTCCATGGCTATGTCAGCCATAACCAGATGGTAAAAATAAAATGCCTTGATCATGCTTGACCAGTTTCACGGGGGGCTTGCCCAGCCCAATGGGTGTACCCGAGACCGAGACCCCACTGATGAATAATCATAGTATATCATTATGGAATTCTATTCTATATTGTAACAATATTGTATAATTATTGCGTTGTATTATAGTTTTTTGTATTATATTATGCTACATTATATTATATCATATTAGATTATATCATATTATTCCATATCATATCATATCATATTCTATTATATTTTATTATATTAAATATTGTGCCATATCGTATTAAATTATATCATAATATTTTTAATATGTACTGCCAATGGTTCAATGGGCATTTTAGTTGGAGTAATGCCTGAACATGGATCGTTGGTCAATACTGAATATAATGTGTTTATATCTATTGTGATTGTGTAAAACTGAACAAAATTCAGCACATTCTGCCACACTGAAGACATTGCTCATGTTCACATAGAAGGGACAGTCATCCCCCATGTTCATAGGGGTCAGTATACCCATTACCCTCTGGTAAACTAACATACCTATGGAAAATCACATTTTTTTTGAATGGGACAATCCACTATAAATGGCAATTTTCAATAGCTATGTTAGTTTACCAGAGGATAATTTTGGATGATTATTGTTGATGCAATTTACTTTCATCCCAGTCTCCATTAGACTCTATGATGTCAAACATGGGAATATTCACACGGGATACACTATCATAGTGTTAATCTCAGATGTTAATGTATACCCGTTTTATACCCACTATGTAAACACACAACGGGTATAATATATAGCATGGGTATATAAACATGATTAATGATGGCCACATACTCTATTGATATATATATATATATACCCATCCCATATCCATTATGTAAATTTGTCAACACATATATAGTATGATTATTAATACTATGTTCTTATTATTTGTTACTATTATAAATTAGTATACAATTATGATTTATATACCAATTCTATACACGTTTGGCTTACTCCCATGATGGTAGAATGCCTATGCTTTGAAGATCTACCCTGGTTCTTCCAGTGACCCAGGATGGAGATGGAAATGGGGCGGGTGCAACGAGATGAGATCAGCTTCAGCTCTGTAGATTGGACGTCCAAAATGTGGCCTCAACCATGGGGGGTTACCCATTACCCGATACCATAGGGAATATATGTGGGATATGTTTTGGGATAAAATATCACACACTACTGGTGATGTTCAACATGAAAAATGGATATGTCATTCTGAACGACCAAAACTTGGTGTAGCCTTTTGACATGCTGATTCAGCGGATATATTTTGGGACATTCATGGGATTTATAAGTATGCATATCGTTGGACTGTACCCTTTGATGTCATCAAACATTTTTTTCGACTGCGAAATCCCAAACTAGATGTTACTTTCTTCATGGAGGTTCATAGCTCGGAAAATCCTCGAACTAAATGGGGAATTGTTCATTGCCATGTTTGCTTAATGGAAGTTACTGTACAGGGTAATTCAACAAAACAATCAGGATTGCAACACATGGGAGTGGCATTTACTCTCTGGTTATGTCAAAATAGCTATTGAAAATGGCCCATTTCTAGTTGATTTACCTATTATTGTAAAAATAGTGATTTTCCATAGCTACATTAGTTTCCAAGAGGGTAAACGATGAACAATTATATATACGTATATATATATATATTATATATATATTATATATATACCCCCAAAAAATACCTGTCAAACATGGACACGTTGCATTGTCAGTTTGGATTACTAGATGGTAAGGGACAGCTTCATGACCTAAACCAGCTATTTTGCTGTGAGCACCTTGGCATTCTCAAGGGATTCTGAACCATACCCGCCTCCAACCATGTCATGAACCATGGATGAACAAAGTTGCGAGACGCTGATCTGTTTTTTTCTGTGCAGAAAGCATTGAAGTGTTGGGGAGATTCGGCTACCAAGGTAAATACAATGTTGGACTCCGGGTTTCAAAGTTCCGACAATGAAATGAGACAGCAGGTCTATGTTCATAGAGCCTCAGAATTGAAGCTGCAGCCAAACAGTGGTGATGCCGCTAAGTTTAGACAGGAAGAGGCCGATATTTTTTGTTGTGGTTTGTATCCAAGCAATTCTTGGTCTTGTTGTTGATGTTGTTTTTGGTTGACGTCCCATTTTTGTCCCATGTCTATGTCCTTAAAACTGTGGCGAGGTCCTGACTTCATTTGAGAATCTTGGAGCAACCAGGATGATGTTTTTTTTTGTGGTCCATCTTCCCGTTTTTTTTTCAGAGAAACCGTCTATACATACCATACATAGATATACATACTTATCCAAAGGTTCATTTTTTCACATTCATATATGATCCATGGCTATGGCCAAATGTTTTGGAAACCAATCTCTTCTGGTTGGTGGTAACTGGAACCATGGAATTTTATGACTTTCCCATCATATTGGGGTCATGTCATCATCCCAACTGACGATTCGTCCATCATTTTTCAGAGGGGTAGGCTCAACCACCAACTAGTCTTGTTTTTCTTGGGAGAAAAAACACATTCTTGGGATCATCCAATGGATGGGATTAGTGAATTGAGCCTAAGGAAAGGAACGAAATGGGCCAGGCTTTGTTGGCTCTTGGAAGAACTTCAGGACAGCATAAGAAACTGCCACCTTTTCTGTGTTTGAAAAGTTTGGCTTGGAAGACTATCATGCTTTCACTTCCTAGATTTTCAAACACGATCTGTTTGCTGTGGATGACTGAACGCAGTCACTGAAGCCTATAGCTGGTCAATCCCCAGCAATATTGACATCTGGGGCATCATATGGCATCATGTTGCAGGAGAAAATCGTGGCTGATGTGATCATTTACAACACTGCCATCTCAGCGGCTGAGAAAATCTCAAATTGGCAGGTGGTCCAGTGAAGCTTGCCGCTGACACCCGGGTTGTGAGTGTGATTTCTCATACAAGTTACCCTTCCTGTCCTGACAATTTAGAAGATCTTGCCAGGTTGTGTGAAAATCATAATTTACTGAAATCCCGTGGTTGCCATTTATTTGTCACAATTCTCAGGTTATCTCTTATTTGAGACAGGAAATCCCCGTTTTCTTTCCAGTTCTCATAAACGGGTCAAAAGCATTCAAAAGCCCAGTTGTCTCATAAAAATCAACAGCTGGACAGATTGATTTTTTGTTATCTTTCCAATGATCAACACAGCCGGAAAGATGGATGGTAATCTTTCCCAATGGTCATAGGTTTTAAGCCACCACGGTCATGCAAAAAGCGGCAGATGGCGCTGGCCTTCCTCCAAGAGATCGGCGAAGCATCGCTGCAGATGGATACCATCTCATTGAACGCTGCCATCAGCGCTTGTGAGCGCCCTGGTGGTGCTGGCCCAGTTTTTTCGGGGGGTTCCATAGTCATGGAGGTGCTGGATGGTTTTCATGGGAAATCCAAAAATAATATATAGAAAATTTGGGGCCCCATGGATTGGAAACACCCATGTGTATGCCATTTATGCGGTGATGACTTATGGTAACCCCATGGTTCATATGGTAACCCGAGTTATTTAAGCTGTATATAGATGGCCCATGTAGTTCCCTGATGATCATCCGGTGATTTTTCACACGGCGATTTTGAAAAGATTGCCTAGTTAGTTTGATGATTTTATGATAATCTAGCTATTAAAATAATGTGATTTGATCTATGTATATCATGTATCCACTCCCCGACCCCACTTGATCTGCTTGCCAAGCGAATATACTTCGACATCGTCTTTTTGTTGGTTTTCAGGTCAATGGGAATCTCAGGGTATCCTAAATTGGAGGTACTGTACCATATAAGGCCATATTTTCTGGGGATATCCCCTTACATAGGCCTTATATAGGCCTTATATTTGCTAGGTACCTCCAATTTAGGTTCCTGAAATGGCCATTGATCAGTTTGATCTCATCCCATCGACGTACCTGCGCTCGCTTAGAAAGCGAGGAAAGCAGCAGAGTGGCATCGAGCGCTACAACTCTTTGAGATGTCTCATCAGAAGCTGAGCGCAACCTCCTGGGTAGCAAACGCCAACCTCTGAATCATATGAGGGTGTTCCTCAAATCGTTAGGATTCCCAAGTCACCATGATTGTTTCAACACTAAGTCATGTTTATCTATGACTTGGATCTCTGCCCCCTAATGCTAAAACACCACCCCCATTTTTTTTTTGTATTAGGATGCCCCTAATAATAAAACAAACACCTTATTTGATAATAATGTTTAAAAAAACAAAAAACCATTTCAAAATCAATGAAAGCCCTTTTTAAAATCCCCTTAAGATATTGCCAAAGATTGGATTTCGAAGCGTTCCCCTAATAATCAAATGAAAACCTTAATAAAAAGACTTTTGAACATGATTTCAAAATGATGGGACGCTAATATTAAACTTACAGCGGGTCTCGTTATATTTTTTTTAATTGGGATAGAAATCATTATTTCACCATTCTGTTCTCCTATTGGTTTTCAATTACCACAATTAAGAATGTAATTGTGAGCAACCAAAAAAATCAGAAAGTGGCACTCCACTCCTAGTTTTATTAATTGGGGTAGTTTTAGTAATAAACATGAAGTTGTCCGCCACAGATGTTCACATGACTATTCCATCCAAACGAATATGTAATATGTGTCATCAATAATAGCAATGATTAGAAACCTCTAGGACAAGTATATTCCCAATGAGGGGGCTTGCGAACCTGGGTAACCTGGGTTTGATCACCATGATTGTTGCTTAAGAACCAACCAATGCGAGTGAAACAGGCGCTTATTGTCATGTGACGTCCTCATGAATCTCCATGTTTCGGGCTTAAATCTCAAAAAAAACATGTCAAATTTCACAATTTCTTGCAGGTTGATCTCACCGTTTGCCAAGGTGGGGTCCCATTTAGGATAAGTAAAGTTGATTTTATAATTCTAACAACTATATGGTCTATGATACTTATAATTATAGTATTCATGGATATAATAACATATCATAACTATGGCTTACGATACTTGTAATAATATATAACTATCATAATATTCATGGTGTTTATAAACCACCAAACAGAACTCGTAGGGCCCACATTGTGGGATGTTTCTTGAGGATTGAGCTGCCACCAAGTGCGGTGACTTTCGCTGCGATCCTCTCAGCACTCGAAGCTTGGTTGGTTCTGGTGATGTCAGCATTGGAGACATGGCATTTCACAAGGAACCGGAGAGTTCACCAATCACCGGATTGGTTTGTTGGGGAAAGTCTACAGGAAACCATGGGCTTTTTACCATCAAATATAGGGCTTTCCTGTAAATTTTCCCATCATCCATATCCTACAATGTGGCCCCCCCCCAGTGATGTTTGTTGGTTTAGATTCGCGCCAGTAACTAGTTCGTTATAAATACCATAAACCATAGTGACACAGGACTTTTTGGCACCAACGGAACGCTATCTTGGGGGCCTCACATTGTACCAAGTAACAGAATCTGGGATTTCACCCACCGGAATGGGGGATTGGATGGGATTTGGCCCAAGGAAAAGGCTCCAGCCTGGCGTTTGGCTCTCCACACTCTGCGCAGCGCCACACGCCGCCGCGCCGCCTCCATAGTGGCCTGCAGCGCCGGCATCGCTGCCTGCGGCAAAGGGCAGCGATGGCCAGAGGCTGTCGGGATTCTGAAGGACCTGAAGGCACCGGAACGCGCCACGGATGTTGTGATTGCTCCATGCTTCATGGGACCGGTAAATACATGTTTCAGAAGGTAAATGATCGAACTAAGTGGGTCATGATCGAACTAGTGTGTGAGTTTACTGGACCGTAATGTATTCACAATAAGCCCCGAAAGCTCCAGTTGATATGTCATGTATCTTTTTGATGGGGATTTGAATGAATGGAAGGATGTAGTAAACCCAATTCCATAAACCTCCAGTTGGGGACGGTTTATACACATAATTATCCATTTCTGGTCAAATTTGAGATGGATATGATTGGGTTACCACAGTATTGAGGTTGTTCGTGGGGATTGGCAGTGTGATGAAGTTGTACCTTTTTTCAAAGTTACATGAGCACGGTAGGGATGATTCGATGCTGTAGTTTCAAAATGTTTCAAACTTAATTATACATACAATAATGCAAAAGTTTTGTGGGGAAGTGACATCACTTTATAACAACTTCCAACAACCTTACCATGAGTTAAAAGTGATGGGCGATGCTTGACCATGGTTACTCTAAGTCTCACAGAACAGCCTCAAGTCCAACAACTTTGAAGTTCTTTCATCATCCAGTTGGTCACAGGATAAGCACCGAACCACAGTCTCCTATTCATGCATGATAACGGTTTCAGCCGTTCCTGCCGTTGTCAGGTACATGGCTTGAGGGCCAACTTGGTGTCTTTCAATTCGACTTTGACTGCCTGTGAATTGGCTTCTCGTTGGAGGCCTTTCCAGCCCTGCTGGTTGCAAGATTTTTTTTCGCCGTGGTGACTACCCTCTGGACTAACATAGCTATTGAAAATGGCCATAGAAATAGTTGATTACCCATTAAACATTGTGATTTTCCATACGTATACATAGTTATGTTGGTTATGTTCATTTACCAGAGTGTACCCCATTGGGTTCTCTACTGCGGTGCAGGTGTAGTGTGTTGCTGCTCGAAGAGTTTCTTGGCGGCTCTGGTTCAAACATCTGCACCGAGTCATTCATCGCAGCACCAATGGTGTAAATCATCGCAGCAGTGGGGCCCCCTAGATAGCTAAGTTATTGCTAAGTTGGTTTATTTGACTCCAATAACTATATTAGGTCTATGCATGTCTATGATAATTACTTATAATTATCGTATTCATGGGGTGAAAATTTGGACGACCAAACTTCACGTAACGGAGACCCCAATTGACCGTTTTTCCCATCCGGCTGGGTCAACAGCAACCAAGTCCAACTCCAGAGGGCTCAAGACCACTGTTACTTGATGATGATCGTGTCAAAAGCTGTGATTAATAGTGGTTAATACTGGTTAATACTGGTTAATACTTGTTAATAATGGTTAATAATGATAATCAATGATTAATATGCTGGTTGGTGGTTTGGAACCATGGAATTTTATGACTTTCCATATATTGGGAATGGAATAATCATCCCAACTGACAAATATTTTTCAGAGGGGGTGAAACCACCAACCAGCCTCTTTTGTATACTGTGGCCATTATCACAATCCATGAACTTGGAAAGTTGAGCGCTGCTCAACACTTATCATCCAGCATCCGATTGCTATTGCATCTTGTTAAATCTCCCCTTTGTAAATAATCTCCAGCTACTGAGCAGTCATCCAGTCATCGACCAACTCCAACTCCAAGTGAGCAGTGTGCAAAAATCCGGTTGGTTGATGATCATATATTATACATGGTTATACTGTCAGACTGTCCACATACTATCTTTTATACATTAGGGATTGTCACTAAATACCATGCCAAAAATCGAACTCCAAACTCCAGCTCCACTAAATCATCCAGCTAGTTAAGTCATGTTAAGTCATCAACTGCAACTCCAAGTCAACCAACTACCGAGCAGTGTTGCCCTGTCGGTTGATGATATGTGGATACACTAACTGACTGGGAACATTTAGAACTCCAAGTCCCAGATGTCCCAGGCTACATCTTCAGCTTTTCGAATCCCAACTGATCAGCATCAACTGCGTCCTAAGCGCCTTGGCCCGTGCGGGCACCGAGAAACTCGGCGCCTGGTGTGGCGCCGTGGGGTTGCTGGTGGCTTCGCAACGCGCAATGACCACAGTGGCCTGGTGATGCAACGTGGGGGTTGGGGGAGATCCCAAGCTGCCTGGTGGTGAGTCTGGTGGTTTCAGATGGTTTTTCAGATGGTCTTCTTCTAACATCCATCCTACCATCCTACCTGGTTGGTGGTTTCAAACATTTTTCCATAATATATGGGATGTCATCCTTTCCATTGACGAACTCATATTTTTCAAGATGGTTAAAACCACCAACCAGTTACATATCCTGCCAATTTGATCCAATCTGCTTGTCTTTTCATGTTTCGTCAGGGGTTAGCTTCCCTTGATCATGGGAAGCTGAGAATGGAAAAGACGTCTGGCAACTCTCGATGAACAGGGGGAAACGATAGTTCAACATATTTCAAAAATATCATGGATAAATGGTAAACTGACAGTATATAATCCATTTTTTCAACATGTACTATTCAAAACATCATCAAATAACTTAGATTTCATGAAATCACAAATATCAGACATGTTGATGTTTTTATTTTTTTATGATGTTTTTTTTTAAATGTGTTTTTCAAAATATCATCAAACATCATCACATACCATTTAAGAAAACGGTAGAAAAGCACCGACACAGATCACAGCTCTGAGCCATCCCAGGCATCCCAGGAGCCTGGATGTAATTTCATGTAATTTCCACATGAGGGGAGCATCAATGGGTGGTGTTTATGTTAGATAATGTGAACGGGGGATGGGATTACTCAAGTAGTATGTTCTTATATGTTCTTATTTTATGATTTTCCGCAATTCAATTGATTCAATTCAGCTTCCGAATCCTGTTTCTTGTCTAAAATCATCTAAAATCTAGGTCTAGATGTCTATGAGTGGCCCCAGTTGATAGTTGATGCTATCGTTTGAGGATGTGCTGAGCTACAAAGAGGTCATCGAGGCGTGTGCCTCACAACGTCACTCGACGTTTGGGCAAGGCGCCAGGTCATGGCAAAAAAGGGGCCCCGGGGCCCCCCAAAATCATGGTTTTGTGATGTGTTGGGCATTGGGAAGGGGATTTGAGTGGTTTGAGCACCGCAGAATGGTGATTCCCACAATCTTATCTTTTTGAGGGCTCAACTTTAGTGTGATGAGGAGATATTTACTGTGAGGACATTAGGCAAAGGCGTGGAAATGACAAGGAAAAGATACTGAATCCACTGATTGTCATGGGCTTGACCATGAGTTTCTCATATCATTTGACATTCGTTGTCAAAACTTGGAACCCCCCGAAAAAATGACCCGAATCATTTTTCAATTGCCCTGGATGACCATACTCTTGGCACAAGCAGCATACGTAGATGGGATGAAATTATACAACACTGGAATCCTAGGATTGGTCCAAATACACTGCCAACCTCAAGGAGCTTCCACTTCCAGGGAACATATATATGTATATAGCAGGATGGTGCACCCTCAGTTGTAAGTTGGCTTATAAACCAGGCAAGTATAGATATATCATGATATATCTGCCATAAAGCATAGTTATGGTAGTTACAAACCAACTTAGCTAACTATGGGAGTTACAAACCAACTTAGCTAACTATGGGGCGCCACCTTGAATATCTATATATATATATATATATATGTACGTATAATATTTGTATGTATAGTATAGTTGTGTCTATGTGGTATGCACACATATACTACCCTCCAGAAAAATAACATAGGCCCTGCCAGATAGGGGTTGGAAACTAAGTTGCCACCAAAAACATGTTATTTACAGGGTCTAACTGTTCATTTACCAAAGGGAAACAGGTAAAACGGTAAAACATGGTAACACCTATTACTAACCATTACGAACATGTTTTATCCCATGTTATCCCCCATTGATAACAGGTAAAACATATATATATATATATACATACATATATAATATGTATATAACTTCGTTTCCTGTCCATGCCAAGGACCTGCTGTCATCACCCCCTGGTTGCTGGACTCTCTCGCTTCGAGTCTGATGAAGACGGTCGCCGCAGTGTCGTTTCACGGGGCCCAGGTGAAGTGAGCCCGGAGTTGATCGCCTGAGATAGGTCAAAATGTCAAAACCTGTGTTTAATAGTGGTTAATACTGGTTAATAATGGTTAATAATGATAATCAATGATTAATATACTGGTTGGTGGTTTGGAACCATGGAATTTTATGACTTTCCATATATTGTGAATGTCATCATCCCAACTGACGAACTCATATTTTTCAGAGGGATTGAAACCACCAACCAGATCATATTAAGGGAGAGATTCCTGGACAATCAGATGGACCTCTGGTTTTAAGGGGGTTTGATTGGTTTTAATAGGTGGTTACCCTTTGGTAAACTAACAGTTTGCTATGGAAAATGATCTAGAGAAATAGATGATTTACCTATTTCACATGATTACTGTATTTTCTATAGCTGCTATATGTTAAATTACCAGAGGGTAATTATACCATATTACGATTTATCAACCAGCTATTTGAAGGTATATACCCAGGTATCCCAGGGTACGAGCTTTTGACTCATAGCCAAATGTGTCGTCTTGTTTCAATCTCATTTGGGTCTGAAAATGAGTGATTTACGCAAAAACAAATGCTATCTTAAAAAAACCATTTGCCTTGGGTAAATCTTTGCGAAATGTCTGTTAAGGGCACTTTTTGGCCGTATCCCAAAATTCGTTGGCTGAAGGATAGCTGGCACTTCGGCTCATGGCTCACCATGACACCATCGTGGCGGTGGGTTCGCTGACCTGTCAAAAAAAGTGCGGTTGCGGATTTGATTGGCGCGGTTCTGACGTGATTTGTTGGTTTCTTATTTCTTGAAGCTCGCAATTGCTCAACAATTCTGGTTCAAGTTTGTTTCTTATCATTAATCCAATATCGGGGCCAAACATGTCTAGAAACATGTCATTCATAGCCAGGGATGATCCGGATTAAGGCTCCACTTTGGAGCCTTGTGTTAGGCTGCACAATCCGTCTCTATATCCACTACTATAGGATCTTCTTAGTGGATTTCGCAGCATCTCTATCTATGCACATATAACGACATCACTGCGGATTAGTAGGGGTAAGTATCCCAAAATAACACTATTTCAGGTCAGTACATTCTTGCAGATTCCAGCATATACATAGAAATCACTGAAACTCATTGAACATTCTTCAGAAATTGATCAACTTAATTTCGACGATCTATGGATTACTATCAATGAATTCAGAATATTCAGACCTTGAGGATCCTGAATCATGGACTTTCATCGATGGATTTCCAGTGTGTCCAACGGAGTCCAACGGGGCGGGTCCCAGGTAAGTACCACAGCTGGAATCGTTGGGGCCGCGTGGGCGAATCCGGCGCGACCAAATTCGTGTCGTTTCCGGGAGCCAAATTCGTCGCGTTTCCGTTTGGGAGCGGTTGGAGGTGTGAAATCAAAGGAACAAGAGAGTGTTGGTGATGAATATTATTATATATTATTATATATTATTATATGTTATTATATGTTATGTTGATTTATTTTGGATGATGATGGATATTGATGATGGATATTGATATTGATGATTGACATTGATGATGATGATGATGATGATGATGATGATGATGACGACCATCTCCATTCCATACTTCCATGGCATAGGAAACTCAGCTCAACTAGCCGAGGTTTACAACTCCGGAACAGGCCATCAAGGTCAGGGAGGTCAGTGGGACACTCTGGGACAAGCCACTAGAAATGGAGGTTTTACCGGTTTTACCTATGGAAAACTCATGGAAATTTACGCATTTTCCGGCCATTTACTATGGTTATCCCACTAAATGGTTTTCCCATAAATGGCGCACGGAAGTAAATTTGGGATTTTCCGGCCAAGTTTGATGATACCGACGGGTCAGTTTCAGGGCGTTTAAATCTTCGAACGAAACAGACAGGAATGCGGTGTCCTTCCTATAGCACTCTGCTGGAAGGGTCGGTCTGTACAGTTGACTTGACACTGCCTCGAGGCGTTTGAATCCAAATTTCGTGAAAAGACCAGCAACTCTTGGGAGAGCGCTTTCAGCGATTTCAAACCCAGGACGGTTTTTTTCGGCAATCGGGGCAGGGGAGCTGGTTGCACCAGCTGGTTGCACCAGCTGGTTGCATTAAGGTTGGCCCTAGCCATAGCCATAGCCATAGCCATGGGGAGTGTCCCTGGAAGAGGGATAATTTTTGGGAAAACCGGAAAAACCACCAGAATCCATTGGACATATGAGTCACTGCTGACTGGTGATTGCATCCCATATCCAAAATTACACAGCTGATCTGTGTCGGGAAAACTGGTGGCCAGATGATGACTCAACTGGTATCATATGAGATCAGTAATTTGATGGACCCAGTTACTCACATATCTTTACCAACTTCCAACTCCAAAAAATGAGTCAACTTGGATCATTTTACTGTTTTGTTGTGGTTCATCAGGGATTTGGGGTATAATAAATAAGGCAATCACGGTATGTTCGACCGGAGCCCCTCCTGGTTTTTTGACCCAGACCGAGTCATAACATCCCAATGAGGCGTCTCACGGGGTCATAGGGACCGTGGTGATAAATAAAGATGGGACCGTGGCTTATCACAACCATGGGTTATTTAACAAACTTCATGGTCATACCCATAACATGGTTATAACCAAAAGTTGGAATCCAAATGAATACTTCATGTTTTTTTTACATGGTTCACACTAACCGTGTTTTTGCAAACCACAACCGCGACAAAAGACACCATGTCCTGTATTTTATATCCATTTAGATGGCGATAAATCCCAGAAAATAATATGAACATGCATGAACATGCCAGAAAATCCTAGAAAATCCCGTGAATGTCCGAGAAAATTCCTTGAAAATCCCATGAATCCCCGAATCTCCATGCAGAAAACTTCAGAACAATCCCATTTTTATCTCCCAAAAAACGCCGGTCGTCCTGCAGGAAAGGCAAGTACATCATCGTCGAGACCGACGATGCTGGCGGTGGTGGTGGAGCTCCAATGGGCAAGCTGACAGCGGTGTGGATTCCCAGGGGCCACCGGGATCGTCAGAGAATCAGTTGGGGAGTAACAACGGTTAATCTATGGTTAATAAATGGTTAATCTATGGTTAATAATTGGAATAACATACTAATCTGTTTGGTGGTTTGGAACATTTTCTTTCTCCATATATTGGGAATAATCATCCCGACGGACTAATATTTCTCAGAGGGGTAGGTATACCACCAACCAGTCATTGGTATACGGAGTGTTTTCTGGATTGTTAGCAGTTCGCAATCACTTCAACCATCCGAACATATTTTGGTGGTTGCAATTCATGAGAATACACCTGGGGATGGTTTATAAGTATGAATAAACTTCAAAAGGTTCTCCTCATGCAGGAACTAACGTGGGCCCATATCTCTACATACAGTTATGACAAGATCCTGGGAACCACTATCCACGATCCGCATGGAGTTTTTACTCGCCGGATGGCATCCGGTCATTGGTCATGGATTTGTTGAAGGGAAAGATTCGTGGAAAGAGTTGGGGATTGAACTTGAACCAGAAAACATGGCCAATATGTTTCAACACGATGGGAAGCACATTTGGATGAGCATCTCATTTAGCATTAAATAATTGGAACATACGTGATATATGTTGCCATGGTTTTGCTTAGTCGTTTCTTGGGTTTCGTAACTTCTCCATTCGCGCCATTGGTGCCAATGATTTCTCTGATTTCTCGCGTTCTGAGGCTCAGATTGCCAAGGGCCAAGCCGTTCTGGATAAGATTGAAGTTGCTTTGAAGAAGAAAGGCACCGTGCGCAGCGGAGGTTTTTGGACGTGACGGTCACCTGACGGTCCAACTGTTTTCACAGGAAATACCGTCCCCAAATGGCCCAAGGGTAATGGGACGTGGCCGTGGCTCTTGTGGGAGGCTTTTAACTACATACTCTTTGGCAATCTCACATGGCAATCTCACATGGCAATCTCACGTAGTAAGGTCCGATAGGTTTCAAAAACATTCAAAAACAGGTTTCATTGGCATGCTTTGAGCTTGACGATTTTGGGCTCGGTGAAGGGACTATTTCAATTGCCCATTGATATATTGCCGGCAGCCGCAGGGTTGATATGTACGGTAGGGACTTTGAGATGACCGGTGTGAGTTCCAATGCTGCTCCAGTAACCTCTCCGGCATCCCTCGGCCTGACAATGATTTGTGGTGTAAATGGCGTCATCAGAGATCCCAGTCGGGTACCGGTCGGCCTCTCCAATTTTTTGAGCTAAAGTGAAAGCCAGCGTTAAAGTGTGGTTCCCTGACCCCTTGCAAGACACAACAACGTCCATGCCTGAAATGTGTAACCGGCACTGTTATTGCCTGAAATCTCTCATTGTGTTAGTTATAACCTCTATCAGCTTTTCATAGACACTCTACCACAAAGCGGATTCTTTGTGGACACTAGAATCTTCCAACCCCGAACTCATAGGGTAGTCAGGTGAAACTTTGGGGCAGTGTAATTGGTGTAAGTGCATCAAAAAGTTGGGGCCTTGCCCCCAGAGTGATACCCCGAAAGTGGAACATCCAACTGAGTGGTTAGCTCACCCATTTCTTTTGCATTCCCAAAAAAATGCGGTGTAAAAATGGAAGAAGTAGCCATGGTTATAAAACTAACCCTACACTGCCCTACACACCCGAATCTCTGTTATTTTTCGTTTATAGATCATATTTAGATAAAATATCAATCACTTTACTTTTATAGATAATCTTTATAGATAATATCCTGTTTATTTTATTGTCCCACTGTCAAACCTCATTAAACAATGGGATTTCCCAGCCTAGCCGAAAATAAAAATCCGAAAACCCTGCAGGTTCTGATTTGGACGAACTTTCCTCGCAGTACTTCTCATTGATCCCACACGACTTTGGCGACGACCTTGGCGCGTGGAATGCGTGTGGAATCTGGCCATGCTCTACCTCTACTGACTCTACTTGTGGACCAATGAACAGTTATTTTGAGTCCCGTGTCAATGAAAAACATTCATATGATGGGTATATGTGTCAGGTCAAAGTCTATTCTATAATGTCAACCCTGGATTAACAAACCCCTAGGCTGTTTAATTGGGGGGGTACCATTTATGTATCATATTGTGACTATTTGGAGGGTACCCCCACAATTGTCATAAACCATGGTTTATTCATCCGGAGTTGACATCACAGCTTACATCCTGAAATATTCTGCAATGGACCCATGAAGCAGCCGCTGGATTTTTTCGCGGCCGAGGTCGAAAGCGACCCACGTCCATCAAAACAGCCGACCTGTTGGAACAACAGCAGGTGCCGTGGGCACCGTGCGAGCCGTGGCGTGATGACTGAGTTGGAAACTTGCAAGGTTACGAGGGTATGCACAGGCCCAGGGAATTATATGTACATAATTAATTGTATATAAACATTATATATATATATTACAATATTACATGCATATTTTTACAATACTTTACATAACTTATAACTGACCATGATATACTTGCTGGTATAATTGCTGGCTCCACCAAACTCATGAGACCCTAGCATAGAGTGACGAAAACCGATTGAGACGCTGGGGATTCTTACGCCGTGATTTTGAGGTCCAAGTAGACTCTTGACTCTTGATAACGTGTCTTTTAGATTTAGAGAATGTGATGATCTGGAGGTTTCCAAATCATCCAACATTGCCTATGATCAATGGGAAATGAATGGTTTGGGGTACCCATATTTTAGGAACCCCCCACATCCACTTGTTTGTATTCCTAAGTGATACGTTCCATTAATTCCAAACAATGAACTAATGGCTCCGTCCACTTCTCCCAATCGATAAAGCTCTCTGTGTCCCAAACAGTTTATAAATACGTATGTATATATACACAATGTGCATATTGTAATATATCATATATATATATACACATAATCATATCATATCATATCATATCATACCCTATGATAAATATCATAATATGGTGATTTATGCTGTTATATATATATTCTTGTATATATATATATTAAATGGGGTATGATATGTTTTCATGCAGAAAGCATCAATAGATCTACCCGGAGGAGCTGCTGAAGTTTTACCTTCGCATGGGATTTGAGGAGGTCGAAAGCAGCGCTGCCATCAGCCCGGTGGAAGGCGTCACTGAGCAAAGAATGGGTCAACGTGGTCAACCTATGGGGGGGATTGGGCTTATGACATTTACCCCCTGGTAAGTTAACAGCTGGACCCTGAAAATCACCAATTGTTAATGGAAACTAGTCTTCCAACCCCTATCTGCCAGGGTCTATGTTAATTTACTGGAGGGTATTGGGATTCAATTCTAATTAAGAATGGCATTAGGTCAAAATGTCAAAACCTGTGATTAATAGTGGTAAATAGTGGTTAATACTGGTTAATAGGGGTTAACAATATTAATAATAATGATAATCAATGATTAATATTATCTGGTTGGTGGTGACTGGAACCATGGAATTTTTATGACTTTCCTTTTATATATATATATATATTGGGAATGTCAGAATCCCAACTGACATTTTTCAGAAGGGGTTGAAACCAACAACCAGTTGTATATATATATATTTATATTATATACTGGTATATATATATATATTTATTATATACTGGTATATATATATATATAGTGTATATATATAATGTATGTGTATATATATATACATATATATATACATACATATACATATATATATATATACATGTATATGATATGTTTATTACTCATGGATTTTAATGGGACTAATAATGTATTATTTCAGTTGGGGCACTGGGGGTTGTTACAAGGAGATTTTAAGTGTTTCAGTGGGGATATGTTAAATATGTGGGATATCGGGGTATACTGGGCAATTCATAATGGGCTGTTAATGGGATTTTAATATGTAAATTGTTAAGAATGGCATATGAAATTTTATTAATCTAATTTAGATAGTATCCCATTATATCCCCTTCCCATTCTCCTAAAAGCACCTGATGCTATCCCTTATATATATATATATGATTATTATTATATGTCCCCTGTCTCCCATCAAAATGGCTTTAAAGCACAATTTTGCTGGATACATCCCGATGAACTCCCCATTGGGCTTTTCCTGAACAAAGGCTATTCGCAAATCATCGCGTTTATAATCAAGTATACAAAAAGTAATGTTTACCATCATGTTCCTCATAAACCAAGCATGTTTGATCATTTTCCCCCGATAAAACCAGCCTTTTTCCCATAGTTTCCCTATGAAACCCAGCTTTTTGTGTGGCTTTTCAGCCATATCCCTCCGATTTTCCCACCACTGAGGTCATGGAACTGCCGGTGCCTTCATCCCTGGACGATGCGGCCACGGCGGTGGTGAAAAGTAAGGACTCCATTAAGGCCCCCGGGTGGGAGAGGTAAGTCTAGGGAATATTGATCTAACTTTAGAGGGAATTTATGCGATTGACATATCAAACAAAATATTATGGTGATATAGATTGATAGATAGATAGATAATTAGATAGATAGATAGATAGATAGATAGGTAGATAGATAGATAGATAGATGGATAGATAGATAGGTGGATAGATAGATGGATAGATGGATAGATGGATAGATGGATAGATGGATAGATAGATGGATAGAGAGATAGAGGGATAGCTGGATAGATGGATAGATGGATAGATGGATAGATAGATAGGTAGATAGGTAGATAGGTCGATGGATAGATGGATAGATGGATAGATGGATAGATGGATAGATGGTTAGATGGTTAGATGGATAGATAGATGGATAGATGGATAGATGGATAGATGGATAGATGGATACATGGATAGATGGATAGATGGATAGATGGATAGATGGATACATGGATAGATGGATAGATAGATGGATAGATAGATGGATAGATAGATTTATAGAGGGATAGATGGATAGCTGGATAGATGGATAGATGGATAGATAGATAGGTAGATAGGTAGATAGGTCGATGGATAGATAGGTTAGGTTAGGAGAAAAGAACTTTTTAGGTCCCGCAAAAATGTGTTCAGGTGCAGGCATTCCAAACAGAGCTATAGGCCATAGGCCAGATATTCCACCATGGCAGGGCTTGAAAGTTCATTTTGGCGTGGTATTAGGTTGCAAAGGAGGCGGGGAGGAGAAAAGAACTTTTTAGGTCCCGCAAAAATGTGTTCAGGTGCAGGCATTCCAAACAGAGCTATAGGCCATAGGCCAGATATTCCACCATGGCAGGGCTTGAAAGTTCATTTTGGCGTGGTATTAGGTTGCAAAGGAGGCGGGGAGAAGAAAAGAACTTTTTAGGTCCCGCAAAAATGTGTTCAGGTGCAGGCATTCCAAACAGAGCTATAGGCCATAGGCCAGATATTCCACCATGGCAGGGCTTGAAAGTTCATTTTGGCGTGGTATTAGGTTGCAAAGGAGGCGGGGGGAAGAAAAAAGCTTTCAGGTCCCGAAAGTTTGTGTTTGATGTGGGCGCCCGAAACAGGGCAGCACAGACAAACCAAGACAAGCCAAAACAAGCCAAGGGCAGCCTCCGAGGTCAGATAACCTTCAGTGACTCCGGCTGGTCTCTGGCTGAAGCTGTTGACGTAAGCCTTGGTGACTACATAAAGATCCACTTCTCCCTGGGGCCGCACCATGTTTGTCATCGGCGTAGAACTTCCGCGGTACATAATTTGTCTTTTGGAAATAGCTGCTGATGATCCATATTTGGTATATTGATACCCATGCAAGGGGAATAAGAACCCGTGGCTAGATTTCCTGGATAGGGTTTTTATTTCAACTAGCTGACAGAAAGGGTTGAATCCAGCAACCCATCCCCTGAAGCTCTTATTGCAGTAGGTTCTTAAACAGTTGTTTCACTGTACCCTCATTTCAGGAAACCTTCATGTTGTTCCCTGAGCATCGATATGGGCGGGTCTAAGGCAAGCAACAAGAAGGGGGCGGAGCTGGCCAAGAAACAGGCTCGGCCAGGTATTCCCAGGAATCCATGCAAGTGGTGGATCGCCATAGGCCATAAACCAGTGATACATGGGATATCCTCAGATAGGAAGTGGTTAGCAGTCCATTTCTCGCATATGAAAACAGTTCAGTACTATCCTGATTCATCTTTGAGTGAACCACGTTCTTCACCATCCTGAGTTCGGGCAAGATAGCCACACATCAAAATACTCGTGAGTGACAAAGAGGGGTCTAAATCTGACAAGCGATGATCATGAAACAGTGGAAGTGAACTTGTCCATACCCAAACCGCATCTCCGCCCAGCCAGGTATTTCTAAAGGGATCACGGTTTGAACAGGTGGCTGGATAAAAACGAGGATTCCGAATACTTCTCATAGAATTGGATAATGGATTTTTTACAGGAAAACCCTATATTTGATGGTAAAAAACATGTTTTCCTGTAGATTTTCCCTGAAACCAATCCAATGAACTTCGGTACAGTAGCTGTATCATCATCAATGTTCTTCACCAGCAGCACATTGGACCAGCAGTGTTCCAAAAAGGAAATCATGTCATCGGCAGATCGTAGCCAAGGACCGAACCATGGGCCTTGCAAATCCAGCAAGGTCATATCATCAAGAAGTCAACAAGATGGATAGTCAAATGGAATGTCAAACATCAGATGCACAGGACATATTATGAACATTGTGGCTAGATAAATACTGGTGATGATGATGATGATGATGATGATGATATATATATATATATGTTGGGGTCACAATTGGTTGCTGCCGCGATGTTCTACATGAACATCATGAGAACTGTTTCATGTTCCGATTCCCCAAAAAACTTCAGCAGTGTAGCATTGCTATAATTGACACATTGATTTCTCGATTTCTTCCACGTTTAGCAAACACAGATCCACCGACCTCCCACAAACTGGCCGAGTTCGGGCGAGCTGCAGGCTGGAAAGCCTAAAAGGAAGATGACGGAAAAGGACGCCTGCAACATGGATGATCCATGTGTCCAACATGTTCATTACGTCTGACTGGTACCCTATGTTAATTTAACATAGCTATTGAAAATGGTTATAGAAATAGTGGAGTTTCCCATGAAAAATAGTGATTTTCCATAGCTATGTTAAATTACCAGAGGGTATTGTGTTGTGGCGACCGACTTTGTTTGGTTTCATGGGGATGATCATTATGACGATACTTATGGCAGATATTGTTGCAATGTACAGTTATGGCCATGGCTATCAGTTATAACTGGTTATTTCTATGGGATTATACATTCTATAAATGGGGTTTTGTTAGTACTTATAACTGGTATTTCGGGCCATAACTGTAATTTAGTAAAACATATTTTGGTTCTACTGTACATCTATTTGGTTTTAAGGGGGCTCTTATTCTAAATTCTAGTTTGCGGGAACCTCTATCTATCCACAAGTAGAATTCGGCAATTGCTCACGCTTTGGCAGGAGTATGCTGCCATCATGCTGTACACGTCCAATGCCATCTACAAGGACCTCAACCAAGCACTGAGGGACAACAACCGCAGCAAGGTCAAGAAGTGCCGCATGTTGTGAACACATTGCTGTGGGCACCAAATGGCACCGGGCACCTAATCTTACTGGTGCCTAGTAGGGAATGGGATGATTATTACTAGTGATTATGGATGATTATGGATCAGTCCCTCATTCCCTGCTAAGCACCAGTAAGTAATATCCCAATACACAAAATGTAGATCAAGATAGGGATGAAACATGATGAAACGACCAGAATCAGATGGGAAAGTTCATCCTAAAGGGAACTCTTAGTTGCTACCCAAAGACCGAAAAACGTTTCCCAATGAAACAGTTTGTTTCATGTGTTTCTCATCGTGCCAATCTGACTTTTGAAGACCAGTAATAGCTTGACCGCAAAGCTCTTCTCGAGGTACTTCAAGTATTTGCGCCTGTTTTTTGAGTCAATGGATGCGTTGCCAAAGCAAAAACGCCGCTGGACCGCACAACTTTGACATGTGGTGTGCATTAAAGATCATTAAAACAATGTTCGATTTCTCATAGTTACTTCGTATTCCCATTTCTTTCTAAATGGATTGGCAAAATTTACAGGAAATCCCAAATGTCAATATATTTAATGGAAAACAACAGAGATGTCTTGCAGATTTCCCACCAAGCCGCGAGGTCAAATGATCTGCTATGTACCCCCACGGATCCAAACACTGTCTGAGAAGGTACGGCCAACCCTCGAGTCATCATACCCCAGTCGTACTTCCCAATAAGGTACGGCTAGATCCATAGGGTACCAATGATTTCAAACGATTTTTTTTTTAAGATGTGGTGATTTTCGGATGGAAATCCAACTAGGCAAGCTTTGGCGTGGCCTTTCTGTGGACTTGCACAAGAACCCGCAGCTTCTTGGCTACACGTTGCTGATTTCAATGGCTGAAGGATGGGGAAGGGACTATGAAGGGATTATACATCCGAGGGTAGCATTTACCGTGGGATTTATTATGTTTTTTCAATCCACTGAATGGTGCTTTTTCTTATGGGTGAAAAATATTGGACAGTCCTTAAGTGTTATGCAAGAGACCCACAGGACTGCAGCTACCTGGGGCTGTTTCGGAGCGGTTTCTGAAAATCACCGACCTTGGTTTTACATTTCCCACCATTTGCCTTTGGCTGACAACTAGTACTCCGCAAACTCATGGACGTGTTCAAGTGATTTTGCACAAAACATGGCCAAAATTGAAGTTACAAGGCATTTGCGCCACGTTTGAGGCATACTTGGGGTTGCAGTTTCATTTATAAGATGTTGTAGTATGTATATGACCATTTGTCAAAAATAGTTGTTTAGAAGTTTAGTATTGGTTGTTGATAATTCATCTGGGTCTACTGTTTTTTCCTCTTCGTTATGAGGCGGCGCGCAACTAAATTCAGCAATTCTGAAAGGCAGCGCTAGCAAACCCGCTAGGTTTGCGCTAGGTTTGATTGACAGCCATGGCCTCCATGTCGTGAATGTCTTGCCAGCTTTTCTTACAAGTCTGTCAGTTTCCACATATTCCCAAATTTTCGATTTTTTTTACGTATTTTACGCGCTAGATCGCCGCTAGCAACGCGCTAGCGAAAATTGCAAATACATGCCCCGGTCCACCCGCAGCCCATTCAGAGGCATAGCCATGTTCACGCTTTGGTAGCTTTCAGTAAGGAAACAACGTTGATCAGGAGGCATGTCAAGAAGCATATTGCATTCAGAGAGGCACACACACACAGAGACACACAGTTCAGGAGATAGTACCAGCGACAGCGAATGAAAACCGACGTGCGTTAGCCGATTCCTGTGGTTGTAGAAAGATTTCCAAAGGTAACGAAGAATTTCCACGTTTTCACGTCATCAAGGTAGGTCATGTTTTTTAAAGGCAAACATGAGGCGGCACGCATGGAATTGCGATTTATCAACAAAACCGGGAACAGACATTTTGACAAACCGTCATATATATATATATATAACCACAGTTATAGGGGTTATATCCCTACCCTTTTTTTCCATAGTGATTTCCGTGTTTTTCACCCCTGGACAGCACCAGTCGTTGCCATGGCTTGCAGGTACAAGGTGGGGGGAACTGTGGTCTGGTGGGGCATCTCCTCGTGCACTTCAGTGCCTCGAAGCATCAGCGAATCGGGCAGGGAGAGGCTGTTTTTTTTGGGGCTGTAGCTCCCTAAAATCAGCAATTGTTTATAGGGTGGAAAATAGAGACGATGATTTAGGGGATTTTAGCAGTGATTTAGGAGTCTACTTTCAGACAACCACAGAATTACGTAGGTAACGACCATGGACCGCGCCAAAAAAATAGTGCGCAATGATGTACGAGATTTTGAATGTGACAACTCATGAGACCATTGAATTGATCCCATCCTTGGTCTCGACCCATTCAATACCCATCTCCTATGCCTGGCTTCATGTTGCTTGGTGATTGCTCCTGAAAGGCCATTTCAAGTTGGATACAACCCCAAGTTGTTTGATATCATTATTTCTGTTTAGTTGGTGCTCAAAATCAGATTAAAACCCACCATGAAATCACGAAAAGCATCGCTATTCCACCATTTTTTCCACCACATTTTCCGAGAAATTCACCAAAAAGGGTTTTCCCCTGTCCTGTAATGGTGAGGACGAGAAGGTCGCCAAGGGCTTCGCGCACGGCTGCGGCGGGAAGGCCACGGTGATCACGGTGGAGTCCAAGACTGCGGCGGATATCTCCCAGGCAACGAGATGGAGTTAATGTCAACCCCGGATTAATAAACGATGGTTTATTAATTAGGGGGGGTATTCCCCCAATAGTCATGATACAGCCTTCCCAATTAAATGATACCTTCCCAATTAAACAGCCGTTTGGGCTTTATTAATCCAGGGTTGACATTGCTCCCGGGTATGCGCCATCTATAGACCACTTGAGCGATGGGATGTTTTGCGCCGTCTATGATCACCCCGGTGTACCCTGTGGTACTTCTTGCATAATTCTGTTACCCTCTGGTAATTTGTTACATAGCGAACTGGAAAATCAAGTGTAATCCTGCGATACATCTATGAAATAGTTACCCCTTCAAAAAGAATACCCTCGGGTAATTTGTTACAGTCTGCTATTGGAAAGTGATTGAATGTTATGTTTATGGTGATTAATAGGTATTGAACCAAGAAAAATTGTCATATTAATGGGACATACTCTCTGGTAGTTTGTTTAACAGCTATTGAAAATGACCATAGAAATAGTTGATTTACCTATGAAAAATTGTGATTTTCCATAGTTTTTTTTATGTTTACCAGAGGGTAGATGCTGTTGTTTTATCCCCCATGGATCCCTATGAAGTGGGCCTTTAAAAGGGACATCCAAGGACTTCCAGGGCATCCAGGGGACAATGGTGTACAACCTTTAAAAATGATAGTAATGATTGGTAATGATGACAATGTGGGTAAAACAATGCCATTTTTACCACCCATGACTGGGACTGCTACAGATACCACCTATTTATGGTGATTTGAGGAATTGTTTTTTAATTGAGGAGATGGTTTTATCCCCCATGTAATGTATAGATCCCTAGTGGATGTCCTTGCATCTATAAAGTGGGATTTCAGTCGCCACTTCATACACGAACCAGGCTATACATGGGGGATAAAGCCATCTAACTTTCATCTAACTATGGATGTCATAGGACAGAGGAAAGAGTTAGGATCAAAAAGCCGTGATACCAGGTACCATATGGGATCTATATGGAGGTTTCCTGAAAAGAGTGTGGGACGCTGTGGGTCCCCAGTTTTTACGTGATTTTTAGCTGCTTTTTACTATTTTTTTCTAGTTATTTATCACTCATTAAGTTTCTAGTCCTAGTCTCAAAGAAACATCATATTAAACAATACCAATGGAATCCCACAGGAACCAAATAGAAGTCCCATAGAAATATCATAGAACTACCATAGACATTCTCAAGACACCTCATGGAAATCCCATAGAATTCCCAAAGAAATCCTCTGAACATATCATAGAAGTACCATAGAAATCCTGTTTAAATCCCATAGGAACCCCATAGAAATATCATAGACATATCATGGAAAATCCCACAGAAATCCCCATAGAAATATCATAGATATAACATGGAAATAGCATAGGAACCACAAAGAAATCCCATAAGAATACCGTAGATTTCCCTCAGGCATCCCATAGAAATTCCATAGAGATATCATAGAAACATCATAGAAACACCATAGAAATCCCATAGGAATCCATTGGAAGTCCCATAAGAATACCATAGAATTTCCATAGTATTCCTTCAGAAATCCCATAGAAATGCTCCAGAAATATCATAGAAACATCATGGAAATTCCATAGGAATACCATAGAAATCCAATAGGCATACCATAGAAATATCAAAGAAATCCAAAATAAATTTCACAGACATCCCATGGAAATCCCTTGGCTGGCTGAAGCTCACCCTTAGGAAAAAACTTTTCATTTAGACATTTTGAGAATTCCAAAAGAATGAGCTAAGAAAGTAAAAAAGAGAAACGTATTAGCAAAGGAAAAGGGAAGGAGAACATGATTTTGGAAAATGTTTACTGCCAAAAAAAAAGCTGGACACAATAGAGGACCACCACAACAAACATACTATTGAAGATCATTGTCATTCATGGATTTTGTTGGTTGGCTGAAGTTCATCTTTTTTGGGAAACCTTTGGTCTTGATTCATCTCTTGCTCATGGACTACCCCCTTGAAAAAATGTTTGGATGTTGTTTTTTCACTTTAGTTTGAATTTATTTTGAAATGGTTTCAACTTCCTTTCAATTGGCACCCCATAGTAATCCCATGGAAATATCATAGAAATCCTTCAGGAATCTCACAGAAATCCCATATAAAGATCATAGAATTAACATGGAATAGCACAGGAATCCCACAAAGAAATCCTAAAAGAATCCCATAGAATTCCCTAAAGAATCCCATAGAATTCCCTCAGGAATCCCATAGTGATCCCATAGAAGTATAGAAACATCATGGAACTCCCATAGGAATGCCATAGGAACCCCATAGTAATCCCAAAGAAATCCCATAGAAACATCACAAAGACACCTTAGAACCCCCATAGTAATCCAATGGGACTCCCATGAGAATACCATAGAATTCTCATAGCATCCCTTCAGAAATCCCATAGAAATCCCCTAGAAATATCATAGAAACATCATGGAAATCCCATAGGATTCCAATGTAAATCCCACAGACATCCTTTTGAATCCCCATAGGAATCCCATAGAAATACAATCGGCATCCCATAGAAATCCAATAGTAGTCCCAAAGAAATATCATAGAACTACCATGGAACCCCACAGGAATCCAATAGAAGTCCCATAGAAAATATCATAGAACTACCATAGACATTCTCAAGACACCTCATGGAAATCCCATAGAATTCCCAAAGAAATCCTCTGAACATATCATAGAAGTACCATAGAAATCCTGTTTAAATCCCATAGGAACCCCATAGAAATATCATAGACATATCATGGAAAATCCCACAGAAATCCCCATAGAAATATCATAGATATAACATGGAAATAGCATAGGAACCACAAAGAAATCCCATAAGAATACCATAGATTTCCCTCAGACATCTCATAGGAATTCCATAGAAATATCATAGACATACCATAGAAATCCCATAAGAACCCAGTGGAAGTCCCATAAGAATACCATATGAGGCTGTAGCAGACAAGATGGCCCAGAGAGCCACCTAGAGCCACCAAGATAGCCAAGATAGCCCATCTAGGGGAGGGGAGGGGGGGTCAGAAAACAACCGATTTTTATTTTTATTTTTTTTTCGGTTGTTTTCTGTGTGGCTCCTTCTTTCCTGTGAGATTTGGAAATTAGGTTATGGCCAGGTGTCCTTCAATCATTTTTTTTTAGTAACATGATATATTCATTTGTACAAATTCCATATATGTAGCATTGTTTTACTGATTTTTTTTTCTTTATATTTATCTTTACCTCATCCATCCAGACATGTGTAAACGTGGGGACTGAGAGCGTCCCTTTCTGCCTGAAAAGGGGTGGGGTACCTCCAAATCATCCAGCCGTTGGGGTGCCCCCAGCCGTTGGGGTGCCCCCAGCCATTGGGAACCTTCCAGGTGGAGGTAGATGGATGTTAGATGGGGATTTTATAGGGTTTAGTGTTTATGGATTTTATAGGGAATTGGGAATTACATTTTTTTTAATGTTATTTTTTAAGAGAGATAATTATAGAAAGATGTAGTTACATAATATTGTTATTGTCTTTATATAGATGAATATGTTTTGCTATTATCATTGGCAGTTGATTTTATGTCCCGTGTGAGATGTGAGATGAATGTGATAATATGATTGCTATTGTAATTACACCTGGGTTATTAGTTGTTATGAACTAACCCTTAGTAGTGATGTTGTCCTTGTTTGTACCAGAACTAGAACTAGAACTAGAACTAGTCCTAGCACTAGTACTAGCACTAGCACTAGTACTACCACTATTACTACTGCTACTACTACTACTACTGCTACTACTGCTACTACTGCTACTACTACTACTACTGCTACTACTACTACTACAACAACAGTAGAGTAGGAGCAGCAGCAGCAGCAGCAGGAGGAGGAGGAGTAGTAGTAGTAGTAGTAGTATGCAGTACGGGTGCAGCTGGACAGATCTAACTCTCAACAGTTGATACCCCCCGGGGCCAGGTCACCTTCTACAGCAACGAGAAGGAGAGTCTGCTGTCGCCCGGAACAGAGCTGAAGGTGAAGAGCAACAAGCACCTTGGCTGTGGAAAATGTATGAAAATGCGACATATGGAAAACAAAGTGGAAAATCACATCAAATCACCACTCTGAATCGGTGACATGACTATGAAAAGTGTCAGCCTTCAACCGGGTGTCCCTCTGATGGGGAAATCGGGAAATCCATTGATAATACCTTCAGACACCGTCTGGCAATCAAACATGGTTTGCTGGAGAATCGAGCGCTTACAAATGTGTTTTTTTTTCCAATAAAACCTCTGTCTACTTTGGGAGTTTTCCAGCCTTGTTTGATGACAGTCTCTCCAGTTAGTTCGTCTTTAAAACCATAGATTCAATAGATTCCGTTCGTATATATATTTACATACATATATTTACATATATATATATATGTATATACATAAATACATACATACATACATACATACATACATACATACATACATACATACATACATATACGATTTTTTGTATATATATATATACACAATTATATATGTACATATCCCATCAACATCAGAATCAATATCCCATATTTTCCCGTTTTGTTTTTGTATCTAGTTTATTCCCATTATACATTTTGTATATATCCCATCAAAACACCACTTTATACACATGCCATGTTCTTAAGATGGATTGTATACCCATATTGAGGGACAGTCACCAACCTTAAAACATGTATATATATATATATATATATCTACAAATTATAAAGATTCGCATGGGCTGGATGGCAATAACCATTATCGCATGTAGCTTAATCCTAACAGCCCTGATCGGCACCCCACGTGTGTCATGTTCTCAGGATGAACGGAAACGTTTGCGAGATCACACTTGAGGAGGTGGGGCGTATGCTGAACTGACACAGCTCGCGCAGCGAACGCTGCAGAGATCTGTGGAGGATTCATTGGATAGGTGGTTTCAGACAAGTTTTGTGTATGAAGGCAAACGTATACATTGAGATTTTATAGCTATGCATATATGCGTATAGATTACATGGGATATGTGTATAAAGGGTAAGTATCTTTATATATATATGTATTAAATACAGATATGTAGACAATATTTATGTACATGTATGTGTGTATATATATACACGTATATACATGTGTTCACCTCGAGAATGTCTATCGAAAAATGTACATATACATGGCCGAAGTGTTTTTTCCCAATCCCTACCAAATCGTGAACTGCAGAACTTGGGTACCATTCCAGTTTTTCTGGGTCTAGATGGATACTACTCAAGGGCAAAACGATAATCTTTGTGCAGACTAAGACCTGATAATTTCTTCATCAAGCTGGTGGAACAGACTGACCCACTAAAGTGAGCACGCCAAGACCCATTGCAACAATCGTTTCCTACAGACCCAACCTCCTAGAACTAATTACCGTAATTGTTTGTCTCTAACAGACATTATGTTTAACATCCAATGTCTGAATGCTTAGGTTGGATTTTACTAATTTTTACTCCATATTTCAATCAATATTCCATCCTTGTTTGAATGAAGGGATCCCCATCCAAAGCTCCAGTCAAAAAGGTGACCAATGCAGTCACTTCTTGCAGTGTGCACATATTGAAGCGGTACAAATCCGCAGATTTTCGGCACATTCGCGGATTCTATCGGTTTACGACATGTATTGATTGGCTGTTTGAAACTGACACAGATTGACGGCTTGTTGGCTGATAGCACGCTCGAGTGCAACATGAAACTTGAATCTCTTGTGTCTACTATCCTGTATCTTTATCGCTTCAGCAGGACTCACGAACTGTGTATGCTCCAAGGGTCTCAATGTATTCCCCACCCCTAATGAACAATCTCAAAATGCCTTCTGTCAGGAAAGTGCAGTGCATCCATGTTCTGAAATCGAGGTATATCTCTTGCGTATGCTGTTTTTGGCTAGAGTTACGTTTCTGTTTTGTCCATTCTGAATGGATGTGCATGGTATTCTCCCTAGCAATCCTACCAGAAGTGAACTTGTTCAAAGGGTGTTTGTAGTTAATTACTCCTAAGCTCTGCCATGAAGATAAACAAATCATGAGTTCCCTTTGCGTTATCAGTCAGCTGCCAATCATCCTGTGGCGACTGCCGAGTTGCGAGAAAAGTTGCCACCAGCAGCCAGGGGGCCACCTGGGGTCGGATGAGCCATTCGTTTCAGAGTTTCAGCAGGGAATCCAGTAAGAAGATAGCGGAATGCGGCAGCAGCTGACAAGCGTCTTACAAAGTTGATACTAACATGATGAGAAAACATGTGTGTTGAATGGGCATGGCTGGCATGGCTCAATTCATTCGCCACTAGAATTCCATATTTGTTTGATCCTTTGAATTTGTCACCAGTTTAAAACCAAACTTTGATATCACTAGTTTAGTATTTTGTTTTGCCACCAATGAATCAATACGTTAAGAATACAGCAGTTGTTTCAACATATTACAGTAGTGTTTGTATATTGTTCTTCTTTTTTAGTTCCAACGAAACAACAACCATAATATTGATTTCACCATATTTTATTTCTTAAGTCAAGTTTTACATCAAGAAACTAGCACATCACGAGTTGTTTTTTCCTGGTTTCACCTGCTCCGTTACATCGTTTCCCTCGCGTCGGTGTAGGTGGACGCTTTGGTGAAGGAGGTCGACCGCTTGCGGCAGCGCTGCCGGGAGCATCTCCAACGGACATCGGGGGTCATCGGGGGGGGATGGCCGGATGACAATGCTCATGGGGAAGAACTATGTTTTTAAACCTACTGTGGATGGTTGCGAAATCCTGCACCAGTTGATAGGTGGTAAACATCCCATTTTTGATAGGGTTTCAACCATCCAAGGTGGTGCAGGATTTCTTCCACCCACCGTATGTTTTTTTTTAAACATTTTGCTATGGAAAATCACCGTTAAGATAACGGTAAAGCATCAAACTCACTGGGACACCTGCCATGTCTATGATCCACGTTCCATAGCTATGTCAACCGGAGGGTTTCCATACGGTGGATGGGCCAGCGAAATCCTGCACCAGTTGATAGGTGGTAAACATCCCATTTTTGATAGGGTTTCAACCATCCTTTTGGTGATGCAGGGCATAGCAACCATCCACAGTATGTTTTTGAACCTATGGGGGGTTTTGGGGGAGCCTAGTTTTTATTGACATAGCCATTTAGTTGAGCATCAGAAAGGGTTAAGGCTATAAGAAATCAATGAGCTACTTGATCTCCAGGATAATCATAAAACAATCTTTAAGTCTTATAATATGGATGACTACAACCACTAATAATACTCAATTATCTACAATAACGTCGAACAGTAGGTGCAGTAGCATACGGTCGTTATAAAACTATGGTTTATTCAGCTTTCAATCAAGATATATTTGTTACTAGGCTAACTCAAGGACCATCAAAATATGGATTTTGTCTTGTTTTGACTCCACATCATTCCTAGATCCTTCAAGTACCGCACAAAATACAACCAAAAATACCCAGATTCTGCACAAGTTTTTATGGGTACTTGGGCAGTCTAGCTACATGAACATTCTCATTCTGGCGGCATGTTTGGGATGTGAACTGGGGCCACGATTTTGATCTACTACTAAACCATGGTTGGATAAGAGGGAGTGCCAGAGAAATAACCAAATGAGTGGTTCCTGGTGAAAACTCCTCTGCTAAAACGTGTCAAGCTTTGCAGTGTTGCTAATTCTCATGCAGATGAGTTTCAGCATGTCATGTTGTATTTTGCTTGCCGTGGGTTGATGTCAAACTATCCTATGTATATATATAATATTATATATATATAATTATATATATATGATATGATATGATATGATATGATGTGATATGATATGATATGATATGATATGGTGAAATCACATGTTTAAGGTTCATCATTCCTGTCCCATCAGATTTGCCATAACTTGGGGTTGCACGATTTTTCCCACACACTCATATATAATATGATGTTGGTTATCTATTCCAATCCCACTGTACGATTTTAATATCTGAACAATTATCTTGCTAATATCAAATGATACGAGCATTATCCGCCCAAATACATCATCTTAATGGTTGTATAATTCCACAGTCAATACCACCATTTCCTCATGATACCACCATATTTTACCACCACGGTACCATGATATTCGTCTGGTGTGGCCCTCAAAGGATACCTAAGTTGGCGCACAGTTCTCTTGGTCAACGTTCGGGTTTGGGGATGCAACTATAGTTACCCTCTGGTAAACTAACATAACTATGGAAAATCACCTGCTATTAATGGGTAAATCCACTATTTCAATGGCCATGTTGAATAGCAAACTGTTAGTTTACCAGAGGGTAATGGGTACATAAACAAACTTCAAACTGAGGCCACGCCTTGTGATATGTAAGCATTTTCATGGATGAATAGGTGGGGATACCCTGCGTCTGTTGCTTTAATTCCTATCTTAATCACCTAATATTTTAGTGGCTTTTTCATCCAATCTTCACCTATTTTTCTTGGATCTTCGCGCATGTTGTTGTTCCAGACCTTAACTTGTACATATTTGTTTATCAAGATCAAGCACAAGTGGGATGGGACAGATGGGATAGCCATCCCATAGTCGATTGCCATTGCTTACCCTGGCTCGTCCTTCAACATTTTTCTCTCGAAAATCACCGTTCTTAACGGTAAAGCATCAAACTCACTGGGACATCTGACATGTCAATGAGCCACTTTCCATTATGTCAACCGGAGGGTTTCCATATCCCAGATGTTCCATGTATGGCATATTTACCTGCAGTTGGGCATTTTTTAGGGCAAATGTTGGTGAAGATTCCATACAAATTTGCATATGGGTATCATAGCATTTTCCGCTATACATGAAGCATTTTCCCTCTCCAAGATCTCCCCCAAAAAGCTACGCGAAACCCATCTAGCCGTCGGAGGAAGCCGGAGCCGAAATCCACCGCTACGGTGGCGACGTCCTTCGATGAGGAACGGATCAACGGACATTTCAGGAACCTAAATTGGAGGTACCTACCATATATATATAAGGCCTATATAAGGCCTATGTAAGGGAATATCCCTAGAACATATGCACTTATATGGTACAGTACCTCCATTTTAGGATCCTGAAATTCCCATTGAATGGAGCGGACGTGGTTCCTGTCAGAAAAATGTTTCTGGGAGAGTGTAAGCAAATTATCCCATAAATTTATCCACAAAATTATTGGATTATCCCACAAATTATCATATCCCAAACATAGGGGGAACAAAAATCTGATTCATATCCCCAAAAAAAACAATACGATAATCATGGGATAAAATTGGGATATGCAAAACCAACTTCGCAACTCGATTTCAATGAAGAAACGATGCTTTATTTTTCCTCACCAGTTGGATGCGGGCAATTGGATTCAATGGGGGAATCATCCCCAAATGGCTGAACTGTTCACTGCATTAGGAGATGCCATGATTTTGCCTGATGTCTACGGTAAGTAATAGAAAAAAGCCCGCATAAAAAAATGGTGATAGAACAAGCAAGTCACAGTATTCTGGTGGGTGCTTTGGAACCATGGAATTTTATACTTTCCAGAAACAGTTGGGAAGGTCATCATCCCAACTGCCGAACTCATAGTCATATTTTTCAGAGGGGGTAGGTATATGATCACCAACCAGATGATATTTAATCTATCAATGCTAAATTTATGGTGATTTTCCAAAAAATACAATTGATTTGGTCGGTGGCTCAACCACCAACCAAGCATGGGATGTTCCTGTCACTGGGAGATATCCAGAGGTCCCATCGATTTCGACCTGGATCCTTTGATTTTGCATCACGGAAAGGTGAGATTCTTCCCAGTGAAATGTTTGTTGGTTGAGAAAAGCCATGTTTTTTAAGTTTATATAGCTACATCCCCCACATCCACAAATCATAGGTTTTTAACAAGTAAGTCACCAACCAGCTATCTAAGATTATCTAGGCATATAATGGCATATATGTCTTGGAGTGAACCTCCCAACTATGTCCAATTCCTCTGTTTTTTTGTTGTTCCCCCATGTATGGCGGCTGGCGGCTGATAAAACATGATCCCCCCATGCCTTGAGCTATCAGGACGTGGCAAGCATGATGGACTTGCTTAGTCAGCAGTTGCAACCGCAGGCAGTGGGAGATTGTGCGAGAGTCATCTTGGAGATCCAATGAAATTTGCGCTCACAAGGATCAAAGATGATCAAAGTCCGTAAATTTTGGCTGGTACAGTTATGGCCATTTATCAGTTGTAACTGGTTATTTCAGTGGGATTATACATTCTATAAATGGGGTTATGTTAGTACTTATAACTGGTATTTCGGGCCATAACTGTAGGAATCATGCCAAACATGGCCAAGTTTGAAGGAGACCATGTATTTTGTGGCGGGGGATAAAAAAGTGACCTGAAACTCGACGAAGGAAGCCAAGTTGGCTTTATCCATGTGGTACATCCCTGATAGAAGGCCATGTGTTTAATACAGTTTTCGAACGAAATTCATGCAGATATTGCATGTTCATGCATTCTGCATGGCCTTCCTTTGACGAAATGAGCACAGATTGTGATGTGTTTTCCATATTCCATGTGTATCAAGTGTTTTTTATTTGGTTGAAGAAGACTTTGAATTTCCATGTATTTCCACATGTATTTTCATGCATTTTCTGTTTTCCCCCATCGCCTTAAGTGACATTTCCACCGTCTCCCGTTGCGGTTCAATAAAACACAGGCCCCTCAGCAAGACCCTAAACCCCCGTTGTCGGCAACCACCTCGACCAAGGTGGGGGCCATCCGACGAAGTTGGGTGAAAAATGCCGTAATTTGGTGAGAAATTTGGTGGTTAATAGTGGTTAATACTGGTTAATAGTGGTTAACAATGGTTAATCATGATAATCAATGATTAATATATCTGGTTGGTGGTTTGGAACCATGGAATTTTGAATGACTTTCCCATCCTATTGGGAATCATAATCCCACCTGACTTTCATATTTTTCAGAGGGGTGGGTATACCACCAACCAGTATGTATATGTATTACTATTATATTATGCCGATTATGTTATATTAATATTATGTCAACATATGTTGATATTATATCATATTATATCATCATATTAATTGTTATATGTTTATTATCATTATATGTTATTATATATATACATATATATATATATGTTATTGTCATATTTTATGTTATTGTTATATATTATTATATATATAATTATTGTTCTATTATATTATAGTTTATGTTTTCAAAAATAGACATCATACTGATAATAATAATAATACCTATAGTAGTAAGTGCCTATATATACTTTCTAGCAATTTAACGTATCGAACTGGAAAATCAACATTGTTTTTATATGTGTTTAATGGGTAAATCATTTTAAATCATCCATAGCTATGTAAAATAGCCAGAAAACATGCCGTAAGTATACCTAGACCTTGACCCTCTCAGTACCCATAAACTGTGTTTTACTGCAAAAGTTTCGTACTTTTACCAATTCTTTGGGATATTTGGAGGGTCCAGCAACAATGGCATAATCCACTTATGAATGGGAAGAGCTGTATATACAGATGTTATTTCCTTATTTGACTGTGACACTGGGGGGTTCCACTTGCATCATTGGGCCACTTGAAATGAATACAGAAAAGATGGCTGAATCTTTTGGATGAAAGGTTTCGTCAGTCACCTATGGGTCTGTACATGTTGACAACATGTGTGGGGAAGAGACAAAGTGTTCAAGGGACAGGGTCCACTTGAAAAATTGAAGCTGAGATGGTATTAATTTTCTTCAACTTGACTTGCCATGCTGTGTGGTGGCCCCATTTTGTGAGCGCTTATTCTTGACATGCTACAACCAAAACATGAGTACCAACGGACCGAAAAAAATCTGGTCATTTCTAGCCTCTAACCATGAAGACATATTTGCTAAACAACGGAAATCCACTGAAACTTTGCGCAATACCCTCTGGTAAACTAACACAACTTTGGAAAATCACAATTTTTAAAGGGTAAATCAACATTTTTGTGGCCACGGTGGCCATGCCTCCCGGCACCTAGTGGCCATGCCTCGTAGGTGGAAAAGCCGGAGACGCCGAAACAAGTCAGGCGCGTTTGATCTTGATGCACATGTAAAAATAGTAAGCATGTGTATATATATATGTCCAATTGTGTGCATCTGATTTTTTAAAACCTGCAAACTTTGGGATTTAATCTCATGAAGTGGTGATATTCAATGGAATAAACCATACTTCCAGCCTTCTCCAAGTCCAGAAAATCCCAGTGTTACTCGGTTATGAGCCAGATGTTGCTTGATTAAGCTCTCATGTGCTGGGAATGTTTGGTTGATTCATAATGATTCATCCCTGATTTTGGTCAATTGAATATAATTGAATACCCTCTGGTAAACTAACATAACTATGGAAAATCACAATGTTTAATGGTAAAATCCACTATTTCAATGGTCATTTTCAATAGCAAACTGTTAACATAACCAGAGGGTAATTGAATAATTCAATATCTATTTTGCTTTCAATCCATCAATCCATCACCCATTTTTCACTTCATTGACCCACCAGAAACGCACGTCGCCACGTCCTGCCGTTAGGATCTTGGAGGCTCAGGAGAGGGATCGAGATCGTCCCCTTCCGCTATGCCAAAGATGTTGGAAAAACATCGTTGGGATCCACCATGGCAATTTTTTCCAACAGAAGCAACCTTACTTGGTGGCGAACTACCCACGAATCGTAAGTGGGTTATAAGCCTAGTTATAAATGGGATAAATAGGGTTAATCCACTTATAACCAAGTATTGATGTAATTTGATGTAATTTTACCAACATGTAATTTGTCATCCCAATTTTTCTTGATCCCATGACGGATCCTAACGGTGCTGCTAGAAAAATGGTGCTCCATGGATCCTATCAATATACCCCATTGTTGTTAGCATAGAAAAACCAGCACCATGGATCCTATGGGGATGTAATTTTACCTTTTTTGACTTAAATAGCACATCTAAAATTTACAATCGCGTGGAGGTTATTTCATAGTGCTTTACTCACAAAAAAAAAATACACATATTTGAGACCATAGAATTGAGATGTTTCCTAGAGGGATCTCACTTTGATGGGACTTCAGCTAGAAGACATGATCGCTTTTTTGGTGCTGCCCTACTCAGTTTCTGGGGTTTGATTATATATATAACAGTTATGACTTATAACATCATATAACCATATATAGATAGTTCTTTTTGAGATTATATGTATCTCAACTTACGTGTTCATTACCATAGTTTTACCCCTTGGTGGTCAAACATGGCTACATAGCTGGAAAATCCACTATTTAAATGGATGATGTTTTCATAGATGATTCCCCATTGCCATATGTTTGATTACCGGTAGCTTTCTGTTGCTTCATGAGTAGGTTAACTATCTTCACTACTCGTGGTTTGTGGCAAGGCCATCATGAATTTCACTGCACCATGAATTTTCACCGGAAATCATCAAGGGGTGGTTGAAAAATCCGAGGGAGAGACGATCGTCGAAAAATCACCGGTTGATATAGCGGAGCTATTGAAAATGACCATTTAGTTCGTTGATTTACCATGATTTACCCATCTAAAAATGGTGATGTTCCATAGTTATGTTAGTTTACCAGAGGGTCCAATGATGATGTTGTAGGGATATCATTGGATATATAATAAATATATATATATATATGTATCTGTATATAATCATATATATATACAGGTGCAATGTAGAAAGATTCTACGTAATATTGGATGGGTTCAAAGGGAAAGGTGTCCGAGAAATCGGAATTCTGAGGACGGTGCGGAAATACTGGATCTTAAGCATAGAACATTGAACCAAGCAAGGGAGAAACACCTCTAGCAAGGAACACCTTCTCTGGTTTAACTCGTGAAACATTGAGTTGTGATCAAGCTTGGCAGTCGTTTGAGTCCGTGTCAGGATTGATTCCAGTGTTGAGCAGAAGCTTAAGATCTCTTCGGCAAAGTGGGTTGGATCATGTTGGATTGGCAGCGGTTGGATACCTTCCAGGGCAGAGACTGCCGGGCTTCATGCACCATCGGTAGATGTTCCTGAACAGAAATTGGCTGTGCACCATCGGTTGCTTCATGGGCAAATTTATGGTCATTTGAGGAAGTAAAGCAGAAATGGTTGATCCCAACGACAGCATATGGATGCCAAAAGACATGCTGTTACCAGTAGAGATGACCACGGTCCCCCTCTCTGACTATATCTATTCAATCAATGGGAATTCCAGGATCCTAAAATGGAGGTACTGTACCATATAAGGCTATATTTTTCTGGGATATTCCCTTACATAGGCCTTACATAGGCCTTATATATGGTAGGTACCTCCAATTTAGGTTCCTGAAATGGCCATTGATTCAACTGGTGAAAAAGGTTGCTGGCGATAAAGATACGAGTTTGTGTCACGCTGTTTAAGGACTCTGATGTTGCAACAACTGGTGTTAGATACGCAAATACCTGGTGGGGAAATAAAGTGGTAACGTGTTTTTTTGCATATATTTATATGTTATATATATATATATACATAATCATATATATATATACTATACAATTTGTTTTGCTAGATTCATGGGTAGCTGTTTTCGCTATAGGATGAAACAGGTCCATAGAACTCTCAATGATATCCCCGTAGCAACTCCCATCATATCTCCATGGCAACTCCCATGGGAAAACATGTATTGTTGGTTATATACTATATATATATATATCCCATTAACATCCCATGAATATTCCACCAATATCTCACTATGTCCCCATTATACCTCTGACTCTGACGTTCATGTTCTTGTTTGCAGAAAAGTCAAGCTTTGTCATAGGTTTTTATTTACACATTTGGCATCTAATTTGTCCTCTGAAAATGGCATGTTTTCCTGGTAGATCCATCATTTTCCCAGCGCTCTCCCTGTCATGAACCGACTCAATGGATTGTTCAATTTCGCAGGAGGTTAGCACAGATGTGGACCTTACTCTGCCGTTTCTTGGCAGATAGATTGATGATGGGGGTTCTTTGGGAAATCCTTAGCGTGTTTTTTTCCTGTATGTACATGTGTATATATATATATATATGTAACATGTAGATGTCATTAGATGTCTAAGTATATTATACACTTTTGAAATTATTTC